ACAAGGCTTTGTATGGACATATGTTTTCATTTCTCTTGGGTCTATACCCAGGAGTGGAATTGCTGTGTCATGTGGTGACTCTACGTTTAACATTTTGAGGAAATGCCAGACTGTTTTCCAAAGTGGTTGTGCCATTTCACATTTCTGTCAGCAACGTGTCCATTTTACGCATTCTCTCAACACTTGTTACTGTCTCTTTTTAAAAAATGTTACACCCATTTTAGTGAGTGTGAAGTGATATCTCATTGTGGTTTTGATTTGTATTTCCCTGATGACTAGATGTTGAGCATCTTTTCATGTGTGTATTGACCATTTGTATGGCTTCTTTGGAGAAATGTCTATTCAAATCCTTTGCCCATTTTTAAATTTGGTTATTTGTGTTATTGTTGAGTTCTAAGAGTTCTTTATGTATTCTGAATACAAGTCCCCTATCAGATATATGATTTGCAAATATTTTCTCCCTTTCTATGGATTGTCTTTTCAACTTAGTGGTGGTATTGTTTGACATACAAAAGTTTTAAACTTTGGAAAAATCCAATTTATCCATTTTTTCTTTTACTGCTTGTGCTTTTTGTGTCATATCTAAGAAACCATTGCCTAACTCAAAGTCAGGAAGATTTACACCTAAGTTTTCTAAGAGTTTTAGCTCTTACATTGAGATCTGTGATCCAGTGTGAGTTAATTTTTATGTATGGTGTCAGGGATCCAACTTCATTGTTCTGGCTATTCTATGTTACTTGAATTGCTGTATGAATTTTAGAATCAGTTTGTCAATTTTTGCAAACAAAATGAAACAGCTGGAGAGGTCACAAGGGGTCAGATTCTGGCAAGATTCAGAAAATAGCAGTGACAAGATTTAGGACCCAGGACCATCCCCAGCGTTCATGCTCGAGGAGCTGACAGCTGAGAGGGGAGAGGAAGAACTGAGTTTCGTGAGAAACAGATGTTATCGTCAGGGATGGGAGTCAGAAGAGGAGTTGTTGGCATGGCGAGTGGAGCAGAAGGAGCCTGCACGGGGGATGGAGGAGAGGCTCAGGTGCAGAGGTAAGCGGCAAGGTCCACCACATGAGGTCACGATGGGGATGTGACGTGGATGCTCCCGGTGGCCTTTGAGGACCGCTGTTCCGGTGGAGGGCTGTAGATGGAGGCCAGCTGGAGAGGGGACTGAGGAACAGAGTCAGCAAGTCTGAGTCTGTAAGAAATATAGTTATGAAGGAGGCAGAGATGGAGAGGTGGTGGGGCTCGGGTGTGGAGTCCAGGTGGATTGTATTTTAAACTTGAACACCTCAAGGAAGAGTCAAGCCCAAGAAGGTCCAGCTGAGAGGGAGCAAGATGCTTGAGAGGAACATGAAATATGATTGGTGTTCCTGGGACATTTTAATTGGTGCTGGGAAGGGGGATACCAAGCCCGGATGGAAAGGTTAGCTCAGCTGGGATGCAAGACCCCTCCCCATGTCAGGGACGGGGCGGGGACAGAGGAGGCCTGGGGCTGGGGCTGATGTGTCCCCCTGAATGGTGACAATCTCTTCTGGGTGTGTGTGTGTGTGGGAGCATGGGAGAGCCAGAAAGTGGGCTCCCCCCAAGTGAAGACCCTTCCCCGTCTGCACGTTGAGTGAGGAGTGGGTAGTCAGAGCTCCTGGCACCAAAGACAGCCTCTGGCCACCAGAGACACAAAACCTAGAGAGGATGCCGAAGACATTTGACTTCCCGCAGTCGCCACCTGGGCTCTCCCTCAGCCTTCCTGCCGTCTGTTCTTACGTCTGAGGTGGGCAGGGAGGGTCTGGCACAGAGGAAGGGGTTGGTCTGTCAGTGCTGGAGCAGGGCTGGATTCAGGGCCATCTAGGAACCATCCCAGGAGGACAGATCCTTCTGTGCAGGGCCCTCCAGAAGACTGGGGTTGGAAGTGGCCACAGACACCAGTGTCAGGAGGGAGAAGTGTGTGCTGTCTGTGTCCAGGGTCCCCAGGCGTGCCAGTGGGCATCTCTCCGGGAGGCCTCAGGGCACTACAGGAGGAGGAGTGCTCTGGCTCTAGGGCTTTGTGATGCTGTTTCACGCGAGATGTCGCGTCCCAGGCTTGGCTGCGCTGGCCGCGGGTCTGCAGGGATGCTGAGTTGGAGAAAGTGGCATCATTAGGAGAGGGGTGGGCAGGCTGTGGCCTGGGTCAGGGCTCTGGCCCAGCGAGGAAGACACCAGTCAATCTCCCAGGAGATTACCCTCTCTGGAGGACGTGTACGCATCTGCTAACAGGCCCTGGATGCTTTTCTGAGCTTGTCTGCCCTCCAGAGTCCTGAAAAAGTGAGTTTGGGGCCTCTGTGAGAACTGATGCTGGGGCAATTGGAGCAGCCAGGGTGCACAGTACCAGGTCCCAAGGAGAGGTCACATCCAGTGCCACCGTCCATGCCACCTGCTCCCAAAAGGCTTGTTTGCCATTTGTGTCTATGAGCAGGGATTCAGATGAGCCCATTAGAGACCTAAGAACCCAAAGAAATGGCTTGTCTTGAGGAAAACCTCCTCCTCACCTCAGATTCCTGGTGCTAAAGGCAGTGATGTCTCCACGTGTTCACAGGGCACCAGGTGCTGAGGAGGCACTTTCTACACCTGCTCTGAATCTCTGCACAGCGCTTTCCTCCCACCTTACGGATGAAGAAGGGGACTCAAAGGTCAGGAGCCAGAGCTGCTCTGCCCTGCTCCACCCCTGCGACCCACTGAGAGTTGCTGGCAGCGTGACCTCTGGCGGGGCATCCTGATGGGACCCCCACCCCCGTTTCTGTGCAGGGCCTTCCTTTGGCCTGGAGACTCTGCCTTAGTTTTGGCATGTGTGGGCTTCATGTGCTTCCTCTGTGCAAGCCGCAGTGCTGTCTGCTCAGTGCCTTCAGACAGGAGGGGTCTTGTCTATGGTGGGGCCTGGTCGCATGCAGGTCCGGGTGGGGGACCAAGAGGGTCCCTCAATTGTTTCCCAGCAAAGGAGAAGCACTGGGGAGCTTTACTGGGCTTCTAGCAGTGACTATAGTTTGCTGCCAAAAAATTCCCAAGAAAAGGAAGGAATTGTCTCAAGGTGGAGCCAGGTCTCCATAAACAGGGTTCTGGTCTTGGGGGTGCACCTCATTTGACTTCACTGCGTCCCAGGTCGCGGCACCAAGACGTCACTAGGGTGCTGTTCTGCTCTCTTGCCAAGAGGAGGCAGTAGTGGCTGTTTAGAGGTGGCGAGCCCAGAGCGGACGTTTTCAGGGCCCCAGTGCTTTGCCTGAGCAGATGTGGGGCTGCGGAGGTCAGAGCTGACCTGTGACAGGAGCACAGGACTTCACTTCCCTGGGCAGGTGAGCGTTGAGAAGCACCTGTGAGCTGGTTATCTCCCATCAATCAAAAAACCAGAGGTCCCTCTGCAGAGACATGTGAATTCACCTCTGCTGGGCTTCTCCTGGAGCAGGAAGAGCCCAGGGGAGTCCCACTGGGTGGGGGCACTTCTGGGGCACCATGCTGGGGAGCCGAGAGGGAGGGAACCATCCTGCGCGCAGCACAGTCTGGGGTCTTCTGTCCTTCCCTCCAGCTGTCAGCAGACGTGCCCCGTGAGCTCACGTATTTAACATATGTTACTGTGATAAGAAATTCCGTTGAGCCTTCAGGTCAGTCCGGTGTGCAGGTTTCTGCAGTGTCTTCTCTCCTGGGAGGTACATGGGGAAAGTGAACCCCATGTGCTTTGTGTCTGGGATCTCCCAGCTCCCACTGTCACCATGTAGACACAAGGAGACTCTCCTCCCCATTTTGAAGCATGAAACATACCCCACGGCCTGCATGAGTCTTGTTGATTCACCTCCTGAATTTCTTCCCTCCCACCCTCACGAGGTGAGGCTGCCTGCTCCCTCCTCCCCCATCACCCAGTTTGCAGTATCTTCCTTGTGAGTCCAGGGTCCTGGGCAACTCCCAAAGGCTATCCCCCACATTCCTATCATAGTTTTGGGAATTTGAATACCCAGTGGGTGGGCCTGGACCCACTGGGAGCATGCCAAATGACCGTTACACCTCCAGTCAGGCAATCCTCACAGGGGTCCCCTGCAGGTGGCCCATAGCTCAGTGAGGGGGAGGCACACAGTCGGTGCACACAGTAGGCGCCAAATACTGCTGGTTTTACCCATTCCTTTGAAGACCTTACATTAGGCTGTCTCCTTGACAACCAGTCTTCTTCCCTCTATGTCTGTGCTCCTGGAGGTCACAGGAGCCTTTCTAGACAAGAGGATGCTGTGGCCAGAGCCACAGGGCTGCCCAGGGCAGGAGTGGTGGAATTCTAGAAAAACAGCATTTGGGGATGCACATCAGAGAGGTGAAGGGAAGGAAGATAATAGGTATGACAACAGTGTGCCTGACCTGCCTTCAGCACAGTCCGGACTCACTTCCAAGGAGAAGCAGAGAGCAGGAGGCAGGAGTATTCATTTCCTGTTTTATTGTTGGTTACTTAATGACCTTCCCTTGAAACGCTGCGGTTGTAGAAAGCAGGTTGTCATGGAAACAGGGAGTGCCTTGCCAGGGATAGGTACACAATGCACTTCTTTGTCATGTCCAGCTGATGCCTTCAGCCTCTGCTCAGACGCGTTAATTTATGGGAGGAATTAAATATTAACTGGAGGCAGAGACACCGGGAAGATGCTGGGAACCGGGGGAAAGTGCTAGACCTTGTCTAACGGGCACCAGCCTCCTGGTTGCAGTGGCCACACCCACTCCCTAAAGGCTCCCTTTAGGCGTGTCCCTACAGCACCGGCTAGAGCCAGGATGATGCTCAGGAGTGCAGGGTGCTGGGAGCCTCCCAGGAGCATCCCGATCAGTGATTTCCTCAGAGCTCTTGCCTCTTGTCCCTGGAACAGCTGTGGGCCCAGGATTTTGTGCATCTTTCTGGGGAAAGGGGAGACTGTGTAAATGCTGTGTGAAAGAGTGGCCCAAGTTTCTTGATTTCTCCCCTTGAGCTGGAACAGCTGCCATTCATTAGATTTTCCTTTTCTGCCCTTCAGAAAATGAGTTCCGGGGTGAGCTGCTGAGTCAGAGGTGGACACACGGAGACAAGGCCAACAACTGCAGGACCTCGAGACTCCTCCTGAGCAGACACGGCAAGGTGAGGCGCTTGGGGGGAACTCTCGCCCTAGGCCCCCTGGGTCCCGGCAAAGTTTCTTCTCACCCCCAGCATGGAGCACAGAGGTGACTTTGGCCTAGTCGTCCTCAGTCCAGATTAGGACCGTCAGTGATCTGGTCACTTCAAAATTAAGGGAAGAAAAACGACTCTGAACAGAGTAAAAGTAAAATGTGATAGCAGAGTCTCACCTCCAGCAGGTCCTGCCCTGAGGTGCAGTCACACCTGGGCTCCCTGACACGCCTTGGCCACTGCCCTCTCCTCTCCCTGCCACGGCTGGGCAGGCTGGGCATCCCTGACAGACTTTGCCGCAGGAATTCACGGGGTCTGCTGACTGTTTCCATCGTCCCCAGTGGAGGCAGATGATACGTGCCCTGCTCACCCCTGAGGGGGCTCATCCCTCAGGCTCCCCGCCTCCTCAGGGGTGCCCTAACACTGGGTGGCACCTGCGCTTTCAGCCACACCAAAGCTAATTCTACGACTTCCCGTGACGTGCTCAGGTGGAGCCAGGCCCCCGGGCCCCGTGGTCCTCGAGATAGCAGTGCAGGTGACAACAGGCTTGGGGGCATCCATCCTCAGTTCTCAGATTCTGATCTCTCATTTTCTTGACGTGTAGACGCCATCAAGGATCCAAGCCACAATCGGGGTGTGGCCACCAAGGCTGGCAGCCCAGGGTGGGCGGAAGACTGGCATCTTAGGCGCAGCCTCCTTCGAGGGTGCTTGGGTTTTTCTCTTGCAGCCCAACATTTTCCTTTTGAGTCTGGTGACTAGAAAGTGCATCTTAGTGGTCTGTTATAGTGCCTGGTCAAGCACCTCATCACACTTTTATTCCTGTAGGATTATCAGTTCTTTGCTGAGCTGTGTTGGAGCCTGAGGTGAAAGGAAAAGTCAGTGACATGGATCATGTTTGTGTTTAAGTTTTTGGTATTCTATTCCTCATGGATTTTTTGCATTAATTTTGATGTTTTAAAATATTACAGTAAACTATTATTTATCTTGATCACTGAGGTTTTGTTTCCCCTTAAATTTGTACCTGGGCCAACACCTCACCCACCTCACGCCCTCTCAGCCTTGAGCATGCAAGGAAATCATGTAACTGAAAAAGTTACTTGATTTGAAGTCAGGGGCTCTGGGTGAGGTGTATCTACAATTGCTGGAGCTGTATAAGGGACAGTAGGAATGTTGCCGTCCCCTTGTGGCTCAGGCATGACAAGCTCGGAGGTGTGGGACCCGCCATGAACATGCGTGATGGCCCACGCTCAGGTTCTCCTGGAGCATCGGCTGCTTCACAAACACTCCATTAGAGAGTCATTTTCCTCTAGTTTGGGACGATAGGGCCTGAGTTACTGTTCTGAGCAGAGAGTGGGCCAGAGAAGAGGGGAGGATGTGCTTGTGAAAGGACTATGGGGCTGGCAGGTGCTGCTTTCTGACTGAGGAGCCCGAAGACGTCACAGCACAGGGGGAGTGGTGGCCTCGGGAGAGCAGAGCATCACACAGTGACAGCGGGACCTGCCTCAGGCAGCAGGTGGGTGAGGCGGGAGCTCAGTGCCTGGACAGTGGTGAGAGCAGAGGAGGCCTGTGTGGAGGCGGTCAGAGCCTGTCTCTGAGTTCAGCCTCTGAGTTCAGCCTTGGCATTGGGACAGCTCAGGGATGGTTTGGAAGGGGCTGTCAGAAAAGATCAGCTTGTTGTGTGTTTGGAGGAAATGCTGGGCATTGTGCTTTTTTTTTAACTTAAGGAGAAAAGGGGTAGTCGTTGATGGTAGGTCCTTAAACCTTGTCTTGACCTTGAAGAATGAAACCTTTGAGCCCCAAGTCACATAATATTCAGTGGATGAGTAGAGATGTGCAATCCAGAAAAGGTTGGTTGCATGTCATTTAGCCTTCTTCCTACCACTCCCAGTGGATGCTCCTATCGAGGGAGGGAGGCACCACCAGGCGTGGCCTTGCTGACCCGCCTCCATTGATGTGGCTGGATTTTTACCCCTGGGTAGGCAGAAATTCCATTTATGTTGGAGTTTTAAACAGATGGACCCAGACATGGCTGCTTTATCAGGATATCTATTTTGTAGCTATAATTTTAGTTTGGGGGTTGGAGTGAGCCACAATCCCATGCTTAGAGATGTCAGGAGAACCCCTCCCAAGACACGTTTTAATAATGCTCCGTGGGGTGTCCTTTCTACAACCCTAGGAGGAGGCTGGTCTGTTCAGCTGCCAGTAGGTCAAATAATGGGTGGAATGTCGGGAGAATTTCACACACAGTGGGACGTCCCCAAAGAGGGGACAGAACCGTCATTGCAAGGACCCAGGGGTGCTGTGAGGCAGAGCAGGGGTGCAGGCATGTGGTTTAGCCTCAGAGATCAGAGAACGGAGAGCAGGATGTGTGCCGAGGGTCCTGAGGTAGCAGAACTTCTACATCTTTGAAGCAGAAGGCTGCTCTTTGGGGAGGGTCCCTGATCTGGCATGTGGGTACATGCTCAGAAGAAAGGAAGCAGGGAAGGCTGTGCAGGAAATGGGGCCGGGGAGGTGGCTCTGAAGGAGTCTACTGGAATGCCTCGTGAGAAGTGGAGCAAGGAGCATCGTGAGCGCTGATGTAAGTCCCTGAGTAGAGCTTCTTCCCAGTGGCAGGAACATGGATCCGCCACGACTCTCCACAGGGGCTCCACAGCAGTGGTGTGTGCTATGGCCTTGCCCTTGGCTGTGCACAAGTGACAGACTAAAACAAGTCTGGGCCAGCGCCCCCCGCCCCTGCCCCCCGCCCGGCCCGCTGGGAGAAAGGGGAGTCTGGGCAGGTGCTGTCAGAGTCAATAGGGCAGGTAGGTGATGGCCAGTTTCCTGCCACCTCCTGTTATACCCCTCTGCCCTCCTTAGCCCATGTCACCCCTTCCTTCGAGGCAGGGCTGCCTGTGGTCTCCCAGGAGTCAGTGAATGCTACCCGCTTTGTCTAGCTCTTCCGGGAGGAAAAGCACCTCAACCTCCCACAGGGACACTGTAATCCGCATAATCTTGGGGATTTAAAAATTGTCCTAAGTCCATTCTAATTCTCCAGCTTTGCTAGCTGTTGGAACGCGTTCTGAACAAAATGAAACCTTAACCTATCTCCTCCCCCAGCCCAGGGCTGGGGGTGAATGTTCATGGTGGCCTCAGGAGGCCTGGAAGCCAGTGCAGCTTGAGGCTCAGGCCTCTGTTGAGTCCCTCCTGATGGCTCCTGGGTCTCAGAGACGTTTCTGACTGTTCCCATTCGTCTGGCCGTTCATTCTTACATAATATGAGCCGTGAATGAGGCTGTGCATTCTGCTCTCTGCAGGAGAGACAACGACCTCAACATGAATGGATGAGCTTATTTCAGATGGAGATGTGGACCATGAGGGAGATGAGCAGGCACAGGGTGGAGCCTCAGCCAGGGGGTGGGGGTGGGGGACGGGGGGGGGCGGGGGGGGGCGGGGGGGAGGCAGGGCACAGGCCTGACTACTGAGAGCTGCTGGCTGCCCAGGATGCTCCTTGTTCCCCAGGTCTGGAGTACCTCCCACCCTGAGGCTGTGCTCCCTAAACGTCCACAAGTCTTCACCCGTCCAGCAAGCCTCCCCACACCCACCCAGGCTCCAGAGTCTGAGCAGCACCCTCCCTAAACCCCTTCCCTGTAGTGAAGGACCTGCCCCCTTGGGCACTGAGGATGCCCCGAGGGCCGGGGAGGCAGGGCTGTGTCTGAGGCTGCTTAGGAGCAGGCTTTAGCACGGATTCTATTCTTTGTCGAGCTCTTAGCCATCCATGTAGAAGGGCAGGAACATGACTTAGGGTGGACAGGAGGGAAGCTCTTTAGCCATGAAGGCCAGGGAAGAATTAAGAAGAAAAGAGAGTGAAAGAGGGAGACAAAGGGAGAGAGACAGAAAGAGAGAAAGAAAAAGAAGAAGAAAAGAGAGACAGAGAGAAAGTCAGAGAGACAGAGAGAGACAGAGAGGGAGAGTGGGGATGAGTGGGTGAGCCAGGAAGAGAAAGCAGGGGTGGGGTGGGGTGGAGGAGCACCTCCAGAGGTCACCACAGGAGTGCCTGGACTTGGGTTGGGGGTGGGCAGACCTGGCCTTTGGGGGTAAAGGTCAAGATGTCACAAAGCCTGCTGGGCCTCAGACACCTCATGAGAGATCTCTGACTGGACATTCTTGGCCTTTGAGAGCGAGTCCACCCTCTCTGCTTGGTTACTGGCTGCATGTCTGTGTTCTGAGCGCATTTCTCACGACCACAGCCTCTGTCCAGACAAATCTACAGATTTCAAGGCTGCTACCTGCATTTGCTTTTTGGTCCCCGAGTCTATAAACGTCCAGTTCAGGGAACTGTTCGGTAAGGGTGCTGTGCAGAGGGGTCCGAAAAGGGACTGGTCTTTGTATCATGTCATTGTGAGAACCGTTTGGTTTAATAAGAGCTGACATCATTAATTTTGACTTTAAAATATACAGAACAGAACAACGCAGTAACATCCTTTTGAGTGAGACTACCATTACACGACAGTAATAAAGTGAGTTAAATGGAGGGACGAAGAGACGCTCCTGTCTGGTTAACAGATGTGGCAAAACAGGACATATTTGCCTTTGTAACTTTTTTTCCTCCACATAGTTTCCTACTGAAGACAGAACCACTGACATATTAATCAGGGCGAAAAGGCAGTTTAAGGAGCACGGGGGGCTGTGACACACACTCCTGGTGGCACAATGCAGTTGGCGTTAGAGAAACAGCACAGGTGACGCTCTTGAGAGAGGTCGCTGGCCCACAGTGGGAGGGGGTCGAGTCAGCTGCGATGAGGGGCCCTTTAGTGATCTGTGGGTGGTGCAAAAATAGGGACTTGATTGGTTTGTGCTTGGAACAAGTGAAGGGTTTTAAAAAATAAATCAGTGAAAAGTTGGGATGTGTCTCATTGTCTTTGCATCAGTGAGTGGCTTGTCTTTGTGGTGGGGGCAGAAGGCCCTGGGGGCTGCCAACAAGCCAGGTTTTGTGAGTTGGGTGGTGTGGGGCTGCCCAAGCACCGGTCCTCCATCTGCCACATGGAGCACCGACGTTGAGGCATGAGGACAGCACAGAACCCACCCCTGAAGTGCTCTGACTTCTCCAAGAGGGAAAACGGTGTAACTCGAGTGGGGCTTGTTCCATCACAGCTCTGTCCAGATGCTTCTGGGGCAGCCACCACTGCTAGTTTCAAACAGCTCGGAAATCAAGTTTTCCCTGCTTCCCTGTTGACGTCTCAAGTCATCCGGCTCTTACAAATTCATTCTTGTATTAAAGAGTTAACCCTCATTCTTCCTCCTGTAGTTCAGATTTTCCCTCTTTAAAATCAAAGATACATGCACTGAAGAGAACTTCTCACTTATTGACCATTTGATGCAGATAAATTGCAAATGGAAAGGTGCTCAGCAAACACATACACAGCTGTCAGCTTCGTCAATGGACTTGCGGTTTGCAAGCAGCGCCCATTACGCATCCCTGCAACCCTCTGTATTCTCTGCTCTTTGAATAATTTATCCGCAGGAAACCCAAATTGCCAAGGCACGCTTTAACCTAGCAGAATGCTTGCCAATTTCCTTGGGAAAACTGACAAAAAAAAAAAAAAAAGAGCTGTAGATTGCATTTCAGCTGAAAGCAGGCGCCCGCAATCAGATGCATTAGCCCCATTGTGAGGCCTGCATCGGAAGGCATCGTGCTCGGCTCGGCGCAGACGACATTTGAAGGCTCGTAAATGTAATGAAGTCCCTTTGACACCTGCTCCTCTCTTCACTTTAAATGTGAGCCATTGGTCCATGGGGAACCTCTGCTTTAAAAATAGAAATTATAGCAATTGTCTTCCGTGCTATTGGAAGGCTGTAATAAGTACACCGCTTGTAGCACGTGGCTCTGAGCCTGGAGTCAACAGGTTGCATAAATTGCTCCAGGTTTGGATTTTTCTTCCTTAACAAATGCCATAAATCACTGTATGCTAGTGCTGCCCATGGGGAGGTTCACTTTACAAATTTCACCTTCTAGTTGGGGAAACCCTTTTCTCCCTTCCTGGGCCGTAGTTTGGACACTTGTCTCCCGCTGGCATTGGGGCGCGGCAGCCTGCTTCTGCTGCCCTTCCTTCCTGTCTCGGCTTCTTCTTGCCCACTGTCTGGCTTTCCCTTTGACAGCCTTGGTTGTGGCCTGGGTCAGGTGGAACTGCTCCCTTCCTTCCCCTTCATGGGGTCAGGTCATGAGCCCGGCTATGTGGGGGCCTCCTGGGGTGTGTGGGGTGCACCCTGTCAGGCAGAGGTGCCTCCCACCTGGTCTCTCTCCCTCGGACACTTGGAGTGCGTCATGGTTCCTGCTGACCTCCTGCCTTCCAGTCACCTGCCTGCTCAGATTTGTCAGGTGTGACACAGGTGGGGGATTCTATGTGATTACTGTAGCACCTGGGGCTTCTCCCCCTGCCCCAGGCCTGTCTGTGACCCTCGTCCACAGGCTTCACTCTCCTGGGGGTTCTCCTTTGTCTCCCTCATAGGACAATGTGGGTAGCACACCCCATGACAGTTGGTCAGGGGCAGGGAGTGTTCGGGGCATGGGGCACTGATGGGCTCAGTTGGGGTGGCCAGAGGCTGTGTGGGGTCTGGGCTGTATGGGGTGCCTCACCCTTTCCTGGGAGAAGCAACATCCCTGGGGAGGTGGCCTATGGGTTCGGTTCAGATGACCTCTCGGCCTGCATTCCTGCCTTAGCCCGGCTCTCAGCAGAGACTGCTTCCTGCCCCTGGAGCCGTGCCATCTAGCATGGTGGCCACGGGCACTTAGCACATGGCTGGTCAAAGTCAGAGGTGCAGTGAGCCCAGGAGATGGGCAGGGTTTCTAAGAGTTAGCACAAAACAAAATCCCATTCATAATTTTTCATACTGATTGCTGTTGAAGTGATAATGTTTTGGATAGATTGGGCTAAGTATAGTATTAAAATTAACTTCACCTGTTTCTTTTTACATGTACAATGTGGCTATTGGACGGTTTACAATGACATGTGTGACTTGCACTCCAGCCACTGGGCAGTGGTGCCCTGGAGGCCCCTGTGCCTCTGGAACACATGCGTTGGGGGTCCTTTCTCAGTTAGGGATGGTCTGGTCCCTGAGCTCAGGCTGCCTCTCCCTGGGACAGCACATGGTAGAAACTGAGGCTCTCCATCCCTGGATGCTTCGTGGGGGCCCGTTGGAGTCCCAGCTGCCTGTCTCTAACAGGACAACCTTTGTGCCTTGGGGACACTAACTCCCCTGGGAAGCCGGGCTCTGGGGCACTGTGGGGTCAGAGTCTGCAGGGCGACCTGCTCTGGAGCCTTGGCACCTGCTGGCCTGGTGAACAGCTGCTGGTGCTTCTTACTCTCACCAGGAGACCGCGCCTCATGGGACCCCAACTTTACAGATGATCTGGCAGATGGGGCAGGCGTCAGGCCTGCAGCTTCCTCCTCCTTTGCTACCTCCAGGCCAGCGGGAGGGCCAGGAGCAGAAGATGGGGGACAGCCTGGCGCTGGAGGTCTCTGCTCCGAAGCACCTCCCCCTTGCCTGCTGCTCCTGGTCCCAGCCTCTCCCACCCTGTGAGCCTATTGCTTGTCATCCTGTGTCATGGATTCACCTTTATCTGCAAAGCTTGATCCAGAAAATGGCTGGAGGTCCCCACACAGCCCTTGAGGGTGGTTCTGTGCTGTGTTCCTGTTAACATCCTAGTTGTTTTTACTTGCAGATGAGCTTAGAAAATGAGGAAAAGCGAGCTAGGACGCGATCCAAGGCCCGAGGTGAGTGCCGCCTCCCTGCCCCGTGGTGGGGCTGGCCCGGGCAGTCTAAGGCTCAGCTCCAGCCCAGAGTCTGGGGTTCTAAAGCTGTAAATGCCACTTTCCCCAACAGTTTCCTTGGAGAACAGAGACCCCACAGCGCTGAGACCCTGCATACACCTCCCCTATGCTGAGCTCTGGGTCCCAAGGTGTCTAGTAGCCTTGGGCCTCTTCAGCCTCAGGGCTCCTGGCAGGGCTGCTGAGGGGCCTGGGGTCAAGATGAGGAGGCAGAGACAGCTCCAGAATGGGGGAAGTGAAGCTCGGTTAGAAGACCGTTCTGTTTGGAAATGAGAGGCTGCCAGCCCTCCACCACCAGCCTCTTTGCTCCCAGGATGTCAGTCTTGGTGCTGGCAGGCCTGGGAGGGTGTTGGGCTGAGCTGGCAGTGGGTGAGGTGAGAGAGGGCCAATGCCCGGCTTGCTCTGCAAGGACGGAGCCTGACCCCGTGGCTGGCCTCGCCTCCCTGAAACTCAGGGCACGCCAGCCAGGGCTGCGTGTTCCCGTGTGTGGGCAGCCCTCACTGAGTGGCGGAGAACACTGAGCTTCCCAGGCATGCCACTCAGTTGGACCTGCACGTTTTTGCCCCCAGCAGCCTGTCACTGAGGGAGCAGCCACTCAGCCCCTCTGTGCTCTCCAACCAGCTTTATCTATTGGGTCATGTTTCCTGCCAGAAGCCAACTTCTACCTGTGATTAGAGAAAGAGATACCGTGCTGGCCCCGGGGGCCGGAGAGCCTGCCGTAGGCGAGCGTCTGTCCCACCGTGCAAAACCACTGGCCCTCATGGGAGTGGTCTGGTGTGACCATCAGAGGAGGCGGCTCTCTCTGTTAGACCCTGGAGGATGTTCTGGGAGGTCGGGAAAAGATAGGGTTCAGTTCTCACAGGGATTGCCTCCAGTTTTACTCCATTTGTCCTGTCAGGGCAACGTGTCTTTTTGATTCTGGCTCCCACATGTGCTTCTGTTTCTCTTTCTCCCCCAGCGCCCCCAGAGCCTGCAGGTGCCGATCTCAGGTAAGAACGGCTTCCTGCCAGCACCGAGCATTGCCCGTGCCTGTGACCTCGGCACCCTAAATGTCCCACGCTGGGCACTTCTGACTGACTGACTGCATCCCGAGCCCTTGCTTTCCCTCATGAGGCCCCTCCTCCTCACCATGTGTCCAGCTTCCCTCACCCTGCCCCTGCCTCTCCCATCTCCGTCCTGGTCCCATCACGCAGCCGGCCTCTCAACAGGGGCACAGACGTGCTCACACCTGGTCACCACCAGGACCTATCGCCATGGGCTGCAGCCAGCAACACGGGGCTGTGTTAGTGGGCTCTCACAAATGCTTCTGGGTCAGATGGTCTGAGGTCCCATTCAGCCAGAGATGAGGGCACAGGCCGTTCCATGTCCCGAGTCGTCCGCTGACTCAAGATGCAGATCTTGCATTTGCTGAGCTCGGTGACTTCCAGATTCTAGGTCACATCCCACAGGGACAAGTGTCTTGAGAAGGAGGGAGGATAGCCTGAGGCAGCGATTTGCTGGGTCGGAGCAGGAGGGGCCAGGCTCTCCTTCTTGGGGGCAGGCTTGCACGCTTGCTGGCTTCTGTCCTGGGCTTGGCCAAAGCCTTCTTGCGTGGAGGGAGAAAGCCACTGTGTGCTGGCCATGTGTCGGGGCTGTCCCAGCACTGCTCACACAGCCTTCGTCTTGCTCAGAGCTCTGATGAATGGTGTCCGGTAACCGGCAAAGAAAACTGCCCCTGGTTTCCCCCTTTTTCTAAGGAGGGTAGTGCCAATGCGTCCTGGCTCAAAACACTAGATAAGGAAGGCAGGTGGTGCTTGTCAAGGGTCCACAGTGCCAGGTGGGCACTGGGCACCCCATTTAATTTTCACAAATTCCTTGTGAGACAGGGTCAGACTTGAACTGCAGCTGAGACAACATGCCCCAGGCTCTTCCTTGAGGAGATGAAGGCGCTCCTTCCTCGTAGCAGCTCTGGTGCTGAGGACACCAAGATGCCCGGCACCCAGCACCCAGGGCGGCAGATTGGGGGGTCAGTAAGCGGCTCCGCCCATACTGAGTCAGGAGTGACGCGCTCATCTCGATGGAGGTTTCCGTGAGCTTCCAGCTCCCGGATGGAGACAAATACAACCTTCTAGTTACTGAGGGTCAATGCTATTCTTTCTCTGCTACCTCTGCCACCAGGTTAGCACAGCTCACTCCACATAATTGCCTGGTTCCAGGCCATCGGCCGCTTCTTAATTCCTAGGGATAAAGATTCTCGCTAAACTGTGAACAAATCTGGGGCCAGCACTATCTTATTCTTCACCAGATGTAGAACGGATGGCTCTTGACAATCAGGAAAACAAGAGGGCCTCAAAGTGCCCGGTGCCTCCAACGTTTGAGGCTGTGACTTGGAGGCAGAAGGGGAGGGGATATGGGAGGGTGATGCTCAGATCCCCAGGCCTGTGGCAGGCTCTGCAATGGCTGCACCGTCCAGTCTTGATCTCAGGGATTCTCATGGGAGCACTCCCTGGTGGTGTTATAACCCATTTGTGAAATGGGGAAACTAAGACTCAGAGAGTTTAAGTTTATCCAACCAGAAGAGCTGAATCACATAATCTACTGCTCCAGTCCTGGGCCACAGGGTGGGAGGGGTGAGGGTGCAATGACAGCCAAACCGGGTGCCTATCAGCTCCACAGAGTGTGCTTTGCCTGAGCACGGAGTCAGCTCCCTGCAGGGAGGTGCCTTCTGATGGGCTGGACCACTGGAGAAGACAGCATGTGATGCTCAGAGGGGCCAGGGAGCACAGGGTGGAGAGAGTGCTTCCAGGAGGAGGTGCTACTTCCCCTGGGCCATGTGACACTCACCTGGGGACATCTTGGGGACAATGAGATGGAGAAGGCTGAGCACAGGACTCAGGGAGGCTCCAGGTTTTGGTAACAGATGAAGTTACGGGGGACATTGAAGATGCAAACCTGAAAGACTAGGCGTTCTCTGGTAACTTTGAAGCAGCGGAAGCAGAAGTGACTTTCAAAACAGATTTGTTCTGAAATATTCTGAGAGAGGCCCTAGCCAGTGGAAGTGAGGGGACTGTGTGGGCATCTGGATTTTGTCCTCCTTCATTACTCTTGTGGTCTCAGCTTATTCACTTAGTAATTTACTTAGTGAGACTCATACTTTTTTAATGGAGAAACTAAGGACAAATGCATTGACATTTAATGTTCTAGCAACAATGCCTTCAGCAATTCTTCAAGCTTCTGAGAATGGATGCTTAGAGTAAAGTGGAACAGACTGTGTCAGGCCAATCGCACAAACTCTGCATAGAAGGTGTCGTTTATTCCTGTGTGCACAACCGCTTGTTGGCCACGAGCTACAAGAGGGGATGTGATCCGTGCTGTGCTCATGGCTCACACTCTGTGCACGTTGGCCGTTGTGGGCATGTTTTCACACAGGAGTGGGCAGATACTTTAAGCCAGGTCTTCGTCCTCTTCCAGCACACGACAGACTGAGGTCAGACAGACAAGATCCCTGTCCTGGTGGGGCTGACACTGTGGGTGCCAGCACAGGGCGAGCGACCCACAGAGAAGACTCCCCCACGATGTCAGATAAACTCCTGCGGAGTCACTTGAAGCAGGGACCAAGTTATGGTGGAGCTGCACGGTACAGGCTTTGCTCTGTGGATGAGGGACTTACACCCCATTGTCCCAGAACTCCACAGCCCACCCCCTGCCCAGCTTGTCCCTTCCCCAGATCAAGCAGAACCCCCAGGAAGCCACTTGTTCTCTGGGCAGGGGCAGGTGTTGTGAGGCGAGCTGAGGAGAGGATTGGCCTGGAAGAAGCAGGATCTTAGCTGCCCACTTTGAGTTTCACTGTGCCCTGAATTTAACACCCAGTGCCCAGGAGAAAACAAACAAAGCTGGTGGTTTTTCCCTTTGCACCAGTGATGAATCAACAGACACTTCCACTTGTGTTTTAGTCTGGGCCCATCTGCTGTCATACCACCTCAAAGTGGCTCTGCTGGTGACGTTGGTTAGGCAGGAGGGTGGGGTACCAGCCCCCTCTGCAGATGGAAGTGGCTGGACCCCTTTTGGAGCACCTTTGGGGCCACCTCCAAGTTCTGGGAGAGACCTCTGTCTGTCACACCTGCATCCTGGTTCTCTCCCAGCCCGTCTGTCCTCACCTGAGGGCCTTCTCCTTGAGCCACTGGCTGGCTCCCACGTAGGGGACAGATGAGAGTGGGGGTCCTCTACCTGCCTCCAGTCCCCTCCAGGGGCGGTGGCCGGAGCATAGGGCTTCAGCTTCCCCTGACACCTATCATTTATGTTTGGATCTCTTGGAGCGGTCCCCAGGAGCCTGCTCAGTGCACCATGAGCAGCCCTCGGAGAGCCCCCTGCCCATCTCCCTGGCCCTGCCACATGCAGGGAGCCTCGCCTGGGGCCCGGAGTGTGGGTGTTTGGGTCTGCCTCTCCGCTTGTGCTGACGAGAGCCTCCTGAGGCTGCTCTTCCTCATGTTCCCCGGCCCAAGCATACGAAGCCGTTGGTGAACCCCGCACTGGGGGTGCTCGTGGGGGAGCCGCATGACCGTGAGGCAGAGGCTGCTGTCATGTCGCCTCTGTTGGATGTTCCCTTGGCTGCCATGTGGGGAGCCAGGGTCTGGGGGCTTCCAGCTTCTTCTCCTAGAGTGGCCCTCGCCAGCTCCACACACACGGACTCAGCCTGTCCCACCGCCCTCTGAGTCGGGGCCTGGGGTGCCGCCCTCCCTCTGGGCTGGAGGCCAAGACCCTTCTGAACTGGAGGGTGGAGGTGGCTTGGAGCAGGTGACATGTTCGAGGGCAGTGCCAGTGCCCGCAGGCCTCCACAGCAGCTGTCACCTAATTGCCTGATTAACTCAGTGATTAATCAGCTAATTGGGGTCTCAGCTTCGAATCTCCAACAACAAGGAGCTCTTGTGAAAAGTCTCAAAGCTAGTTCTTGAGAGAGTGAAAGCAAATGTGGGGCATAGATTTTAGAACAGACGGGCTGGGGGCAGCGGCAACTCCTCTCTGTCTGGGAAGGAAATCCACAGCAAATGTGGCCCATCCTCCCTTCCCCCTTGTTCCCTCTCTGCTTTCTTTTCTTCTTTTCAAACACAATGCAAATCACACTGAGACCAGCCAGCAGGGAGGGCTGCAGGCAGTGTCCCCATCAGAGACCCCAGCTCCCCAGAGGCCGCTGCTGTGTTTGGGGGTGTGAGGCTCTGCCTCCACAGACTGCTCTGTTCTCCCTGACTGGTCAGTGGGTGTGGCCTGCATGGTCAGCTGGGCCCCACAGTCATCTGCGGTCAGGCCCTTGATCAATCAAATTAGAAACCACTGGGGGAGTCTGGACAGAAGTCAGGGGTGGTGCCACTTCTGGGTCCCAGGAGCCTCGAGGTTGGTGGGCCTGCACCGTCCTCCCTTCACAGGCTCTGAGAAGCCTGATCCGAGGTGGGGAGCTCAGACCCCATGACGTCGATCCTGTTAGAATCAAGGTCTTCCCATCATGGGCAGGACCGCCTGGGCCACACCCTCCGAGGAGGAGCTCAAGCCCCCTTCAGGTGGCCTCTGGAGGGCCCTCCACTTCGCTAGCTGTCAGTTGGCTGCTCCATAATACAGAGTCATGGCAGCTCCTTGCAGTCCTTGGTCCGTGGATGTGCCTAGCCTCACACGCCACGCTGGCTCTGTTGCCCTGGGGAGCCGACTCCTGGGGAAGTGGGTTGGGTGGTGTGGTTTGCATCCTTGATGAGAGGTTTCCAGAGTTTCCCATGGTTTGTTTCTGTGGGGAGATGGATGATGGTGGAGGGTGAGGAGCTCCTGGGGGTCTTGCCTCTGTCGCATGCTGGACCTGGGGTGGGCGCTGCAAGAGGCTCTGTGTTACCCCCACTGAGGTCTCACGGGCAGCTCCTGGGTCCTCGGCCGTCCTGGCTTTGCCTCCCTGGATGGGAAGCTGGGACCCACACCAGCTTTCAGGTTCTGGAGTGGGGTCTTCGCTGCCATGTTGCACCCGCCTCCAGCTGGAGACCTCTGGCTCAGGCCCAGCCTGTGTGTTTGCAGTTGCTCCTGCCTGGTGGTGCCGGCTCCACTTGCAGGCGAAAGGCTGCAGGTCTCAAAGAGCCGGTGACAGCTGTGGGGAGTCCCAGTGTTCGTGCTTTGCTATTGGGCCAGCCTCAGATGCTGGTCTGAGAGGGTCTCATTTCCCAGCCCCTGGAAGTCTGGTGGCAGTTTACGTGCAGTGGGAAAGACCTATTCCAGAAAAAAGGAAGCCATCCAGGAGAGGCTAGTGTTGGAAGTCTTGATCTCATAATACAGATCTTTAATTAAACACACTTATAAAATTGTAATAAGGCATTCATTTATTTAAATGGGGTGAGTTGTTTCATTAATTTTTAGCAAACTGCGAGCAGCCACTCTGAGATGCACTATTTGGAGATAATCTTTTGCTCCCCAGGGTGAGGGAGTGGGGTGGGCCCAGAGACTCCGACCCTCCCCATGCCGGGAGGGGCCCTGTCCTGGAGTGATGGCTCCTGCTTGTCTCCTCAGCTGCCCCACCCCAGGATGCACGGGCTCGGGACACGTCCGGGGCAAGTACTCCAGGCACCGCAGGTAAGGAGGGGGCCTCGCCCAGGTTCCTGGGAAAGAGGTTGCGCTGCCAGGGTGCTGGAGCCCCTTTCCCACTCTGAGCCCTTTCGTGGATCTAGAACCTTCCATCTCTGCCCGAGGCTGCGTAAAGGCAGTGTGCTCCCATTCGACCCTGTCCCTGTGTGGGAGAGCTCAGAGCAGACCTGGTGCACACTGGGGTGACCAGAGTGAGGTGCCACCTGATTGTCACTGTTGTCACCCTGTGGGTCACTTGACCTCAGGCGCCCACCACTGCAGCGCCAGGTTCAGAGGATGGGAGAGGGTGTGGGGATCTGGAGGTGGAGGTAGGAGCCCGGGCACTGCTTGGTGGGAGGAGGTGGCCAGTGTGACGAGGCCAGGCCTCGTGGAGGGAGCCGCTCCGTGTGGATGGCCCAGTGGGGTTAGGTCCTCCTGCTTTCCAGAGAAGCAGGAAATGCAGTCTGAAGCACAGTTAGGAGCTTTTCAGTTAATGTGAGTTTTAAGCACATCAGCCGGCCAGTCGTTGGGCTGAGGGCAGCGATGAGATGCAGAGGGAAAGTGGCGTAGAGGGTGAAGGCGGAGGGCCCTGGGTATCGACTGCCACGGTGGCCCGAACCCGCTCCTTCCCCCAGTTTGCAGAGCTGCCCTCTGGCCAAGAAGAGGAAGCTGGAGGGCGCGGAGGCCGAGCACCTGGTGTCCAAGCGGAAGTCACACCCCCTGAAGCTGGCTCTGGACGAGGGCTACGGCGTGGACAGCGACGGCAGCGAGGATGCTGAGGTGAAGGACGCCTCTGTGTCGGATGAATCAGAAGGAACTCCGGAGGAGGATGAGGCTGAGATGTCAGAACAGGAGGAGATTCATCGCCCTGAGCCAGCTGAAGGTGCTTTGTTGCTCTTTCTCCTCGAATAAAGGGAGCTTAGTGTGGCCCTGGAGGCACGCAGCCTGTGGATGGGGGGTGGGCGTCTGAGCGAGTGAAAGGGCCGCCGAGAAAGCCCTTCCTGAAAACAAGGCAGGCTTGTCCCTGACGTTTGCTGAGGCTTCCTGGAGAGGATCTGGCACAGGGAGTCTGGGGCCCGTGGGGGCATCTGAGAGTGAACACTGCGTGTGTAATTGTGGATGTGTATCTGCACACGTGTGAGAGAGAGATGTGCAGATGGACATGGGCTGTCTGTCTGTGCGTGGGAATCTCAGACAGACCCTGCCCCACCTGGCTCTTGGGGAGAGCCACTCGGGGCACGGTGGAGACTGTAAGGGGGTGCCCTGTGAAGCCAAGAGGGGGAACTGAGGGGCTCTCCCTGCTTGCACTTTCTTCCCCGTGGGGCACCCAGGCCTTGGCAGGTGCTGGTATGAAGGTGGCCCCAGGCCCTGGAGGGAAGCATGTGTCCTCAAGAGCCCCCACAGACTGAAGTCCTGAGGGTGGGAGCAAGGCGGAGGCACAAACTCCCCAACACCCCCAGCTTCTGGCGCCTTCTGACCTTGCAAGGTCTGAGATGGATTTTTATTTTATTTTGGAGCCAATCCAGGGAGAGTCCTCACACCCACCTCCCCCCTGGGGTTCTGGCTGTGCCTGAAGTGGTGGCCCTGTGGACTCCAGGTAGAAGGGGCTGGCTCGCCTGCTTTCTCATAAAGGAGGGAGTTTGGGGTTTGGGCATCAGCCCTGGCTCACTGCCCTGCTGGAGTGGGAATCCTTGTCGATGATCCCACAGGGTCTGCATGTGGTGAGCCCCCACTATATCTTAGTCATGGTGGTAATAAGATTTAAATTTGGGTCCTTTAAAAATATAAATTTTTTTACTACTTTTCAATTATGAAACAACTATTAATAGTCTGATATATTCTTTAAGCTCCATTTCATGAAATGCAGGTTTACCTGATTGGAAAAAGTACCCATAACGGGGAGGATAGTAATCAAAAATATCAGAGTAATTCTCAGCTTCAAAAATACAGTAGCGGTTACTCCATGCTCCTCCTAAAATAAGTTCACTGTGCTCTCCAGATCTGGGCAGAGGGCTGACACCAACGACCCAACCCAGTCCCCACTTCCAGGGTTCCGCGCTCCCCAGGCTGCGCAGGGCAGGTGGAGGGACCAGAGGCCCGGAGACCCACACGCCCCTCCCACATGGCCTTTCTGACTCTGTGCAGGAAGGAGCCCCGTCAAGTCTCATTTCGGATCCAACCCCGTCAGCAGCTCCATGGGCTCCTCCAAGGGCAGCTACAGCAGCTATCAGGAAATCATTGCAACTTCTCTCCTAAACTTGGGCCAAATAGCTGAAGAGACCCTGGTCGGGGAGGACTCTGGCCAGGTGGCCAAGGCAGGCCCCAGCATTGTGCACCTGGTTCAGGAGGAGCCTGAGGAAGGAGCTACCAGCGACGAGGGGGAAAAGGACGTCTTCATTCAGCCAGAGGACGCGGAGGAAGTCATTGAAGTCACCAGTGAGCGCCCCCAGGAGCTGTGTCCCCAGTCCCTGGAGGCCGTGGCCAGCGAGGAGTCTAGCCAGCGGCAAGTCAGCCTGGGTCATGAGGATGAAGAGGAGGAGGAGGAGGATGAAGATGAGGAGGAGGAAGAGGAGGAAGAGGACGAGGACGATGAGGATGACGAGGACGATGAGGAGGAGGCTGCTCCCGAGCTGATCTGCCCGGAGGATGCCTCCCCTCAGAAGGCCCCCAAGCCTGAGTACTCTGTCACGGTGGAGGTGCACTCTGACGACGGCAAGGATGAGGACTCGCGCTCCCAGAAGTCCACGGTCACGGACGAGTCGGAGATGTATGACGTGATGACCCGCGGGAACCTGGGCCTCCTGGAACAAGCCATTGCCCTGAAGGCTGAGCAAGTGAGAGCCGTCTGCGACCCAGGCTGCCCGCCTGTTGAGCAGGGCCAGTTGGGCCCTGGCGAGCAAGGGAAGGTGGCAAGGCCCTTGGATGCTGCGAGGAAGAGCTATTGCAGCAAAGGTAGGGGCCACACCTGCTCTCTGCCGTCCTCCAGGGACAGGGGCCCTCACAGGCTGGGGGGCAGCGGATGGATGCAGACAGGGGCCAACGCAGACACTGAGGAAACGGGCTTATACTGAACACGTAGGGTGATCCCGAGAGACACAGCTAAGGAGGTGAGAGGGACGGCAAGCTGGCCCCAGAGCCTCTGAAACAGCTGGGGGATGCGCCTGGGTCATGGGGAGGCCTAAACGAGCTGTAGCTCTGGGTACCCCTTAGCTGGTAGGTAGGTGGGGGCACAGGGCGCAGAATTTCTGGGAACACTCTCTCATATCAGACAGGGGGCAGATTTTGAGGGACACAGCTGAGGGGACATAGATGGGACATTATTTCAACCTGGAGGACAGCTTTCAGGAGACACCCTTTCAGGGTGGTACAGACTTGGGGGACAGCTGTTTAGGGGCTCAGATTCAGGCCATCACAGGCCTTGAAGGGATGTGGACACAGGGAGACCCAGGTGATGGTGACACGGGTTTAGGACAGGTGTCGGGGCCTGTGTGGGTGTCAGTTTGTGGGTGGCAGCCCTGGGGCCCATAGGCCAGGGCAGACATTGGTGGGACACTGTTGGGGACACATGGGGGACACAGATAGAGTGACAGCCCCAGTCTCAGGTTTGGGGACTCAGACATGTGGGACAGACATTAGGGGACCCAGATGCAGGGTGTCCTGCCTTTAAGGATACAGTTGAGGGCATAGACCCAGGGGACAGAGTCTCAGGGTGAGGCAGGGGGCTCAGCAGGAGCACTGAACAGTGCTGAGTCAGCCACTTGCTGTGGGAGAGACAGTGGAACTGGCTTTAAGGGGCTAACACTGAGGCACAGATGGGCGAGCATGGGACAGAGGCTGGGCGGCAGTGTTAGGAAGCTCAGGAAGCGTGGAGGAAGGCTAGTGAGCCCACAGGGCACCTCTGCCTGCCTGGTGGGGGGCAGCCCAGCTTCCTGCCCATTTGGACTCGAGAAGTGGAGCTGGGGCCCCACCCTCCCTGGTGGGGGTTCTGACGTGACTGTGACTTCTGCATACTCCCAAGGGGACGGCTCCCTCCTGGAGTTTCTCTGGGATGTTGGCTCTGCCCTGGGGATCATCCACATCCTGGCAGGTTTCCCCTCTGGCCCCCACACACAGTAGTGCCCTCCCTGGGCCCACAGAGGCTAGACGAGGTCAGTGATTGAGATTGGGTGTAAGTTCCTGCCCAGGCATTTATCAGTCATGTGATTTCGGTGAGTTACTTAATGTCTTGTCCTCCTCATTTTGTCAAGTCCAAAGGACAGGTCCTGGAAGGGCCCTTGTCACATACCTTCAACTCTGTGCAGAGGCCAGAGCTCGGGTTATGGGAGCTCGTGGAGGCATGGCCCTCACATGGAAGCCCGTGGGCGATGTGTGATGCCAGCAGGAAAGAGGACACCAGCCTCAAGCTGAGTCGTCCTCTTCAGGACGCTGCGCGTCCTGCTCCTTGGGGCCGTTTCTCGGGGCTCCTTCATGTAGACAGCTCATGTGGACCAGTCTCTTCAGGATCGCCTCATTGTCCAGCCCCTCGTCCCTCTCGGGCTCTGGGGCAGCCTGGCCACTGTCCTCTCTGGACAGCCAGGGTGAAGGGTCACAAGCTGTCCCGTCCCTCCTGGCCCACTTCCTGGCTGCCCTCTCACTGACGCGTCTTGTGTGTTTAGATCCCTCAAGAGCTGAGAAGCGTGAGATCAAGTGCCCCACGCCGGGCTGCGACGGCACTGGCCACGTCACCGGGCTGTACCCTCACCACCGCAGCCTGTCTGGCTGCCCCCACAAGGACAGGATTCCCCCGGAGAGTGAGTGGCTCTGCGCGACCCAGGCTGTCTCTGGGGTTTGGATGGCGTCCCCAGGGAGGAGTGCCACCCGGGGCCCTATCCCTTTGGATTGGCACTGCCCAGATGCCCACACTGGAACCCTGTGAGGCTGGGGATGTGGAGTCTGCCCATTATCCACCTCGAGGTGGCAGCCTAGGTCAGGGCCCCAGGAGACTGCCACAGACACAGGCACATGGAGGGGAACCGGGGTCAGCAAGCTGGGGAGGGGCCCACCATCTGTGCTCTGGAGACTCAGGAGGAAAAGGCCTGTCCTTACTTCTAGGCTAGAGGCAGTAATTGTGAACATTAGGTTCAGAGGAGTGAATCACAGAACTAGAAGTTTTAGAGCTGAGTTGGTTTCTTCCCCATGGAGGCAGGGGGCCCTGTGGGAGGGGGTGCCTTGACTGGGCTGAAGCTTGGGGGCCGGAGCTGCCCTGGGTTGCTGCTTGGAGCTGCCGTGTCCCCACCCCGAGAACTGCAGCCTTCAGCTGGGGCTCCTGTATCCTCCTTGGCTGTGCTCACCGTCTCTCCCTCCCTGGTTCTCTCACAGTCTTGGCCATGCACGAGAACGTGCTGAAGTGCCCCACTCCTGGCTGTACGGGCCAGGGCCATGTGAACAGCAACCGCAACACACACAGAAGGTACTTGGGCTGAGCTGGGCGTGGTGAGGGCCGTGCAGGGGTCGTGCGGGGGTGGGCTGGGCCCGCTGTGTGTGCCTGGCCTGGACAGGGCTCGGGCCTGCCACGTCTCCCTGTGTGCTGCCCCTTGGGGATGGTACAAGGTCAGGGCAGACCTTCGGGGGTGGGCAGAGCTGCACCTGGAAGTGTGGTCACCTGGTGGTGTTGCCTTCTGTGCCACTGCAAATGGGGATCCTGAGAGACGGGAGGGCGGCTGGAGGAATGGATGTGCACTGGTGTGGAGGCCTATTGCCCACAGTGAGAGCTATGGAGGCTGTGTCCTGCCAATACTGGGGAACCCCTGCATGCCAGCTCTGGCTCGTGCAGGACCTAGCAGGCTAGGACCGAGCTTTGGCTGCCCTGTGGGTGTGCCGAGACCCCGGCAGAAACAAGGCTCTGGGGTGCACTTGAAGTTGGTTGTCTGTGTCCTCCTTGGCGAGAGGCGGCCCGTCCCCAACCCTTGCCTGGAGAGCTGTGGGCGGCCTGGCCACAGGGGGACGCGCCCTATCCAGCGGTACACTCAGCTGAGAGGACTGTGAGCTTCCGAGGCCGCTTCACTAAGAGGCTAAACTTCTCAGTGGAGCACGGCTGATGCAGCTTGGCTTTTGACAGACAGAGCCGCCCATGGTGTCTCTGGCTGAGTGCTTTCCTTGGTAGGACCTGCACCCTCCTGGGGTGACCCGGTGGTCCACATCCTCCAGGGTGGGCACCCAGGTCGTGGCCCAAGTCGGCTGACTGAACCTGAGCCGGAGACAGGTCCAGAAGGTGGCTCTGGCTGGTGGGGAGGGGAGGGAAGGAAGGGGCGAGGTGGAACCATGGCCCAGACCCACTCAGAGGAGGTGCTTTGCTCAGAGCTTTGAAGGCCTTTAAGATGTATTTTGTCCTCGTGTGTTGTTGGCTTAGAATTTCCCCAAACAGAAACTGACCAAGCAGCCTGTACTTCGAGGGTTTGAGGACAGAGCTGGAGAGAAGGCCCCACTCAGTAGGAGAGACCACCTCCCTGGGCTTCTCCTGGCAGCTGCTGGTCTCCCCAGCTCCCACGGGCATGACCTGGAGGAGAGGGCTCAGCTGTCCTCCTTGTCTTTTCTCTAGTTTGTCTGGGTGCCCTATTGCTGCTGCTGAGAAGTTAGCCAAATCTCATGAGAAGCAACAGCCGCAGACGGGAGATCCTTCCAAGAATAGCTCCCACTCGGACCGGATCCTCAGGTGAGCGAAATGAGCTGCAAAACCGAAGGGGCAGCCTCCCAAATGCCCAGGGCTTTGCAGTCTTTCCAGGGCTGCACGTGCCCATGCACATGCTCATGCTCATGTGTGTGCCCATGTTCACGCTCTTGCATGTGTGCTCATGTTCATGTGTGCGTGTGTGCCTTTGTTCATGCATGTGTGCCTATGATCATGCTCATGCATGTGTGCCTGTGTTCATGCTAGTGTGTGCGTGTGCCCATGTTCATGCTCATGTGTGCATGTGTGCATGCCTGTGTTCACATGTGCGTGTGCCCATGTTCATGCTTGTGTGTGCCTGTGATCATGCTCATGTGTGCATGTATCTGTGTGCGTGCCCATGTTCATGCTTGTGTGTATGCCTGTGTTCATGCTCATGTGTGTGTGTGTGTGTGCCCATGTTCATACTCGTGTGTGTGTGTGTGTGTGTGCACATGTGCGTGTGTGTGCTGATGCAAGCCACACATGGGACCCTGGGTCAGAGCTGGAGGGCAGTTTCAGGGGCACATAGGACAGAGTCTCATGTTTCCTGTGTTCGCAAGTGCCTTGGCTGTGGCACAAATACCCCCACAGCTGCCCATGCTTTACTGCCCTGTGAGTGTCTGAGCTCACCGCTTGAGAGCGTTCAGAGAGTGTTTGTGGAGATGCTGGTCCATCTGGAGAGAGCAGACCACATCTGAGGGCCATTGCCATCCAGAAAGCACCAGGAGCCGCTCGTCCCTGGCTGTCCTGCCTCTGCCTCCCTCAACCCAGGGATGGGCCTTAAACCAAGGGAGACTGTGCTTAGGTGCATGTGTGAATGTGTGCACATGTGTGTGCACGTGTGTACATCTATATGTGTAGATATGACTCATCACAGAACGCATCCCTCCCTCTATGTGACCCTGTGAAGTGGGTGCCAGGAATAAGGCCTTAGGCTCAGGAACTCACCCAAGGCCACACTTACCAGGCAGGGCAGCTGGCACTGGCACCCGGCCAGCCTGGCTTTGGAGTCTTGCTCCCAACCACAATTCTTCGTCCGGTAGGGCCACTTCCCTGAGGCGCACGGCACCTGCTGTGCTGGGGAACGACCCCACCCTCTCCTTTCCCCACCTGCTGTCCTCGCTCAGTGGACATCCTGTTCTCAATTTCTTTGAGGAACTAGAACTCACAAAGGTCTTCCCTCTCCTCAGTTCTCCAGACCCTGTTCCATATTCGCCTCCCAAAGGAGAGTGGGAGACCAGGGCTACTGTATCCTGCATGGGCCGTGCCTGGTGGCTATGGACAGGGTGGTGGCCTCCTGCCACCCACCTCCTTTCAGGGCCACCCAGCCCATCCCTTCCCTGGCATGTGCCTGGGAGTCTCAGCCAGAGGAGCTTGGCACCCACCTTGGCCTGCTCCGAGGTCCCATGCGAGGGGTCTGTGGGTGGGGAAGGGGCCTTGCCCCCCTGCACTGGGACATGCTCGCAGTCCTGTTCATGGGGCGCCTTCAGCTCTGCATGTCCAGCGGGCTCTGCCCACCAGCTGGCTCTCATGATGGTCGGAACTGCTTCCTTCCTCCCTGTTATTACTGTTCCTTCCAGCTTCCTATCAGTTACCACTTCTGTCCTTTTCCTTCCTGGAGCTAAGTCACTGATAAAACGTCAAACCACCAGGCATGTGAGGTCCTGTGAGGTCTGGTGGGGGGAAAACTGGCTCCAAACTTGGAAGCTGTGCCCCCAGGGACCTTTGATCTCAGTTTGTTTGCCTGTAAAAGTGGGACAACAGTGTTGTCTATCAACTTCGAGCTTCTTACGAGACTCCACGGAGGCAGTGACATTTTGCCTCCCTGGCCCTTGATGAGGAGCCTGGAATGGAAGTTTGTGCCCAGGATGCAGGAGCCTTCTGCTCAGGCTCTGGCCATCCTGTGAGGCCACATTTCTGGATGTCGGGCCCTGGTGCAGGGAAAGTTCTTGCAAAGCTTTGCTGGAATCGTGGACACTCAGTCCGTGCTGCTTGCTGAGAAAGCCATCCAAACACGGTAGGGATGTTAAATTTAGGATTCGTTTTACCCTGGGGGTGCCTGAGTGTTCTCCAGCAGCTTCTTTCCATGTCACTGGGCCAAAGTCTAGCCAGGCCTTCTCACCCTCCTTTGGGCAGAAAATGTGCCCACATTCTGGTGGTGTCTGGTTTTCCAAGGCCCTTTAGTGCTGACCTCCTCATGGTTGCAGGGTCCTTCTGTCACTAGGCTTGTTTTTGGGCCACACTCAAATTCTTACAGCACCCAGTGCATTGGAGGCCCTCACCATTGGCCTCTTCCTAATTCTGCCCATCCACTCTTTCCGGACTGAAGTCATTGCTTGGTGCAGAGACAGGAGCAAAGAGAGCTGGGGGCGGGGTGGTTCTCCCAGCCTCCTTCTCCCTTTTCCTTCTCTCTGAGCTAACTGGTACAGAAGCTCCCCTACTCCGTGTGGTTGCCATTCTCTGCCTGGCTGGTCTTCCTGCCCTGGCTCCCATGCTGTCTCAGCCAGCGTCTTCACACCATCCCTTAGGCATTTAGAAATCTGAATTCTTCCAAGAGCTTCAGTAACGATGAACTGAACACTCACAGTGGCCTTTCCACGCCTGTTCTTAACTCCTCCAGCAGCCTCTCCAGGGGCCGTCTCAATGACTTGAAGAGAAGACAGTGGAAGGCTGAGCCCCTGCACAGGTGGACACACCCGTGTCCCCTCTGGATACCCCAACTCCCTGCCCACTGGGGAGTTCTGAGTTTTCCTGCAGCTAGAATTCTGCATTGCAGTGGCTGCCTGCCACCCCGGGGATGCTCCTGCCAGGCCCCCTGCTGAGGGCCCAGACTGGTGGTGGCAGAGCTCTTTGAACCTGCTCTCCCAAGTTCTGAGTGGAAGTCTTGGACCCTCCCTCCTCTAGCTAATGCCGTCTGCAAGGGACGTGCTGTTCAAGGTTCCTATTGCTTCTGGCTTGCAGGCAGTTCTTCCTCACATGGATCAGGCCCTGGGCACCCTTTACTGGTGGGACATGGGGGAGGGTCTCTCTGGGTCTCTGTCTACACTTGACTCTGAGGGGTCCCTGTCCAGGCTGTGGGATAGGGCACTGCGGATGGGTCGCATGGGGTCCCTGGGTCCTGTCCTCATGGTTCTGCATCTCTATCCCGCACCCCAGGCCCATGTGCTTTGTGAAGCAGCTCGAGGTCCCTCCGTACGGAAGTTACCGGCCTAGTGTGGCTCCTGCCACACCCAGGGCCAACCTGGCCAAGGAGCTGGAGAAGTTCTCCAAGGTCACCTTCGATTACGCAAGTTTTGACGCTCAGGTTTTTGGCAAACGCATGCTTGCCCCAAAGATTCAGACCAGCGAAACCTCACCTAAAGCCTTTAAATGTAAGTCGGGGAGAAATGCTCCTGGGCTATGCTGGGTTTGAGGGGCAGTAGAGGAGGGACCCCAGCCAGGAGCGTTGTAGGGAATTCCTACCCTGGGGGGCTGGTGGATGGGATCGGACACAGGCCTGGACCCAGCTACCCCAGTGTCCACTGTGATGGCCTTTATGGGGTCTGCTTATCTCCCATGTTGCCACCTCCATGTTCACCATCAAACCTGATATATCTCCTCACTAATTGTGAGACAAAACTGAGGTCCTTTATGATGTGCATCTTCAAAGGCTTAAGAATAACTTTGCTGACGTGGTCCACCACAGAAGCCATCTGCCTTCCTGCTTGGGGACCATCTTGCTGGATACAACGTGTTATTTGTGATATTAGCAGCAAATTTGCTGAGTACTTGTACTAACAAAATTCATCCGTACAGACCTTTGAGAACAATCCTTCCTGCCTTTTTGATCACTTATTGCAGTAATTTGTGGGTTTCAAGCCCTTTAGTACTGGAAATACATATGAAATGGAAAAGCAGCCCCAGTGTACCCCTGAGATTGGAACTGGCATCTCCTGGTGGATGTTGTTGGTCCCCAAATGCAACAGAGATGAGTTTCCTAGATATTAATAATAACAATACCAATTGAAACAATTACCACTGGAGCACGTACATCTCCTGCTTGTTAGGACTGAGAGCCTCATGTCTTCAGACACGGGCACTCACCTGCACTAGAGCACCCCAAGGAGCTCTCCATGTGTCTGGAACTGTGTTGGCAATGTGTGATTACTCAGGGACATCCCGCCTGAGAGTGAGTGTGTGGCTACTGCGCAGTCCCTAGAGACGATGGCGTTTGACGCCTGAGCTTGTCGTGTTTATTTGAGGGAGATGTCACTGTATTAAAGCAGTGACTATTCTGGGGACACCAAAATCAGCCTTTTGAGATGCTGTGACAGAATTTTCCTACTTGTGTGATACTCCAAACACTCGTCCTATTTACAGACTTCTTTAGTCTCTCAATAAGCACACACCGATAGACAGCTTGTTTTTGTTTGAAATACCAGGGATGCTGGAATGTCTGGAGGGTTTTGCTCTTTCTGCCCAAATTTGGGTCAAGCCAGAAATAGCCTCTTCAGTGCCTGACAAGAGGGCAAGTGGGAGCAGGGCATGTGGGCACCTGCGAGTGGGTTGAATGACCCGGCCCTACCTTCCCCTTGGCGGTGCCCAGGGCACGCTCAGCTGTCCCAGAGCCCCCAGTGTGCTGCGTGGCCGCCTCATGTTCAAGTTACATATCAGCCTGGTGTTGTTCCCTCTTTGCAGCCGAACCTTTCCCAAAGGCCGCTTCCCCCAGGCACAGCCCCTGCGCTTCCTCCTCTTCCGCAGGCTTCGACTACGCCCACGACGCGGAGGCCGCTCACATGGCTGCCACCGCCATCCTGAACCTCTCCACTCGCTGCTGGGAGATGCCCGAGAACCTCAGCACGAAGCCACAGGACCTGCCCAGCAAGGTGGGCGTGTCCCCTGGGGAAGCTGGTCTGAGGCGGAGGGGGGCGGGGTTTACTGCCAAGACCACATGCCCCCCTACCAATGTGCTCAGCAACACCCAATGTCTCCTTGGTAATTATCGTCCTTGTCTTCTCTCCCTCCTGGCCACAGCCCTGGACGACCAGAGAGGTGGGAAGGGTCCTTCTGACAGCTGTGTGCTGTGCCTAAGGGGCCAAACATACATGTTCCCACATTTCCCTGAGTCTGAAGATTGAGCACATGCGTGTTCTCACGTTTCCCTGAGTCCAAGGGTCATGCACACGTGTGCTCCCACGGTTTCCTGAATCTGAGGGTCACGCACACATGTGTTCCCACATTTCCCTGAGTCTGTGGGTCGCACATACGTGTTCCCACATGTTTCCCTGAATCCGAGAGTTGCGCACACACATGTTCCACATTTCCATAAGTGTGAGGGTTGTGCACACGTGTGTTCCCATGTTTCCCTGAGTCTGAGGGTTGTACACACGTGTTCCCACATGTTTCCCTGAATCTGAGGGTCGTGCACACATGTGTTCCATGTTTCCATAACTGTGAGGGTTGTGCACACACGTGTTCCCATGTTTCCCTGTGTCTGAGGGTCGTGCACACGTGCTCCTACATTTCCCTGAGTCTGTGGGTTGCACACACATGTTCCCACATGTTTCCCTGAATCTGAGTGTTGTGCACACGTGTATTCCATGTTTCAATAACTGTGAGGGTTGTGCACACACGTGTTCCCATGTTTCCCTGTGTCTGAGGGTCACGCACACGCATGTGCTCCCACGTTTCCCTTAGTCTGCGGGTGGGGCGCACAGTGCTCCTTTGTGTCTCTCTGCGTCTGTTGGTGGTTCTCCCCTGACCACGCTCTCGGCCCTCTCCAGGGTCTGGTTTGTGGTGCTGGGGACTCGAGGGAGAGAGGTGGTTCCCCATGTGAGTCTGAGATGGTGGCGTGCCAGCACCCCTCCTCCTGGGCCCTTCGATTCCTGTTTGGCTTGGCTTCCTTTTGAGGGAGCCGCTGTTGCAGGCCTTCTGGATGCTGAGGTAACGCACCAGAAGGCATGCAGGAAGGGCGGAATCACTAACAGACCTCACCTGTGCAAGTGCAGGCAGCGGACATCGAGGTGGACGAGAACGGGACCCTGGACCTGAGCATGCATAAGTACCGCAAGCGGGGCAGTGCCCTCCCCAGCAGCAGCAGCAACAGCAGCCCAGGCGTGAAGTCTCCTGATGCCTCCCAGCGCCAGGGCGGCACCAGTGCCCCCAGCAGCTCCATGACCTCGCCCCAGTCCAGCCAGGCCTCCCGCCAGGATGAGTGGGACCGGCCTCTGGACTACACTAAGCCCAGCCGCCAGCGAGAGGAGGAGCCCGAGGAGGTAGGTGCGGGAGCTGAGCCAGGGGCAGCGCTGCAGGGGTCTTGCCCTGCCTGAGGGCTCTTGTCGATGCACCTGCTTCTCCAGCAGAGCCTCGGGGGTCCTGTCCTTCCCACATAGGGCTCTGCAGCCTCCGGGAAGCTAGGAATGGAGGGATTGTCACCCTTTTGCCATGCTGTGGCCTCATCTGTCCGAGAGAGGGGTGGTCTTCTCACCTCCGCAGACGCGGCAGTGAGTAGGGTGCAGGCCCTCAGGGAGGGCAGGGAGAAAGGCCTCCTTCAGACCCCCTGGAGGGGGATTTGGGAATGGCTCTGAGTTCCTTGGTTTTGTGGGCATCCCACCAACCTGCTGTCCAGGTCGGGAGACCTCGAACTCTGGTGGCTGCCCCTTGTAACCATCCCCAGGACACTCCAGGCCTCCTGGCTCCTTGGACAGAGGCAGGAGAAAAATCCTGGTCTTGAGAGCCCCCTTGGGCAGTGGTCTGAGTCCCAAGACCAGCACTCCTGGTAAAGAGCAGCAAGCCAGGTGTCTGTGCCGGAGCTGTGGTCTGGGGCCACCGAGCATTCCCTCTCCCGTCATCCGCTCGTCGAGATGATCGAGGGTTTTTCCGCAAAGAGATGTGTGTCTGGAGCAGCACAGCCCAGTGTGACAGCAGCACAGGCTCAGGGCAGCCTCCACACAGTGCAGGTCCCCTCCTGTCTCCTCCCTTCTCCCTGCCAGCCCCTCAAGAAGGCAGGGGGCAGGTTCCTGTGGATAGAGGCAGGGCCAGCCCCCCAGGAGGGCGGGTGTGGGTGATAGAGAGGCCGGACCCCCAGGAGGGCAGGGGCGGCACCTTGTGGAGGGGGAGCTTCCATACTCCTGGGAGCCAGGCTCCCTGTACACACTTCACATGCTCCCCACTTTACGGAGGAGTGGACTGGGCCCCAGGCTGAGATCACTTGGCTCATCACGAGCTGCAACTGGGTGCCAGGCCCCAGAAGAGGGGCGCCTCAAAGACTGAGGCCCAGTGGAGGCCGTGTCTATGGGGCTGCACAGGCACTTTTCTCCCTGGCTGGTGGGAGCGCAGTCTGAGGCTGGGGCGGGGCCCTCCTGTGTGGGGGCCACCAGTACAGTGTCTCCACGTCTGTTCTCCTCCTTGTTCCATTCGTGCCCCCAGGACTACGTCGTCCCTCCCCAGTGCCCTCGGCACCTTCCCTGCCCCTTTCCTCGACAACCCCCGCCCCCCCCCCCCCCCCCCCCCCCGCCTCAGGCTGGTCTCCCAGGCTGCTCTGCCCCTCCCCCTCCCCCTTCACACTCCCCATGAACATCCTCCTCCCCTCCCAGGACTGTCACCATCCTTGGTGGGGTGACCCAGGTCTCAGAGACCCAGTGAAGCCTGCCCATGCTCTATCCCGGGATCAGAAGTCCACTCTCCAGCCAGAAGCCTCGGCCTCCCTCTCCTCCAGCCCCTTATCCTGGGCACAGGTGCTCCACATCTTTCTGGATCACCCCCAGAAACGCCTCCTGAATCAGGCCTTCCTGAGACCTCCACCACGGGCCTGGAGTCCCTACTCAGACTCGCTTTCCAGCTCTGCCCGCTGACCCTTCACTGTCCCCACTAAGGCTGAGGCCTCTGCCTGGCAGCAGCCCCTTCTCACTGCCCCAAGAGACCCCAGGCCCCTGTGTCCATGGGCCTCTGGGGTGCTTTCCCTGCTCTGGAGCAGCATCCTCCTCATTTATCCTGAAGACTCAGCTTAAGTTGAAGAGCTTCGTCCAGCTTGCTCAGGCAAAACTCTCCTCGTGCCTCGTTCCATAGCAGTGACAATAGCAGTGACAGCAATGCCCACAATGGCAACGAGACCACCAGTCACAGAGAGCTGTGTGTGCTGGGCTGTGGCTCCTCTGGCTCGTCCTCAGTCGAGCCCTGGGTGTCCTGTGAGGCCGCTGTTTTCTCAAGCTTTGAGGCGTGGCATCTGGGCCCCAGGACGCTGCACAACTTGCCTGGGACCTAGGGCGAGAGCCTGTGTGGGATCTGAACTGCGAGCCACCCCATGGGGTTAACCGCTTCTGCCACAGGCCGACCTACAGGGCACTGACCTTCCTGACTCTGTGGCCCCCCCACCCTCTATGGCAGGGACAGTCCTTGTTCTCTCCTCGTCCACAGCACCCTACCCTTGGGTGATGAGTGGACACCACCAGACCCAGCATTTGAGTTCAAAGCACTTATTAAATGCCTGCTGTTGTCAAGGCGTTGTGCTGGGTCGGGGCATAGGGCCCGACGGTCACAAGGTCACTGTGATTGTCATCGTACTTCGTACGTTGTCACTCTCATTGTGCTATCTCATCATCACAGCATCTCAGCAGACACGTATTTTGCTAGTGCCCACTGTCTACCGGGGGCCATTTGTAGCTCCGAAGGGGCTGCACTTGTAGACTCTTGTGTTTAGAAGGAGGCCCAGCATGGTTAGGTGGAGGTGACCCACGTGCCCAAGGCCGTGGAGGGTGTCAGGAACTGGCCACACTGGGCCACTCAGGAGCTCTGGCTGCAGTGGGGGAGCACTCCAGCCCCGGGGGGTGCTGTCTCCTGTATCTTAGGGGAGTAAGTCTTCCTCTCATCCAGAAGACAGGAGACTCCAGAAAATGCCTCTGTGGACACTGTTCTGAAGGGTCCCTCTCCCTCAGCCCCCGGGTTGGGCGCCCAGCCCCCCGCCAGCCGGTTAAAACATCTCCCTGCTGGTTTTTTGCAGTCAGAGCCAGCAGCCCATTCTTTTGCTTCTTCTGAAGCAGATGACCAGGAAGTGTCGGAAGAGAATTTTGAGGAGCGGAAGTACCCCGGGGAAGTTACCCTGAGCAACTTTAAGCTGAAGTTTCTCTCCAAGGACATAAAGAAGGAGCTGCTCACGTAAGTCCCCACCTCGGCCGACAGGACTCCTTGGAGAACCTCAACAGTCTAGAAAGGATCGTGTCTTGGTCTGAGCCATAATGACTGGGCCTACTCCATCTGGGGCTTTCCCCTCGCCCTGGCCTAGCTCTGACTGTCCTCCTGCCCTGACCCTCTTGGGGGAGAGGTTGGGCATCCTTCACTAGAACCCTCTTGAGCCAGGCAATGAGTGATAGGTTCCCCGCCATCTCTGCACCACACTGGGCACGAACACAATCCTTTGAAGTGGTTAGGAATGACGTGTTCTGGTCCACAGAGCAGGATGAGGGCTGAGGGGGCTGACCCTCTCCCAAGCCACAGCTGTTGCCCTGGCTCCCAGCGCTGGGCCTGATGTGTGTTCAGCCTTAGGACTCAGCACCCTCAGCCCTGGCAGAGGCTGACTCCTTTGAGCTGGTCCTCATGGGGTTTAACCAGGTGTCGTTGGGGAGCCAGAAGCTGCTTGTAGATGTGAGCTGCCCTGTGGCCTCTGGTCAGCCTTCACTGAGAACCACCTCTCCTTGAGGACGCTCACTGTGCTCAGCTTGCTCCTGGGGTTCCTCTTCTCCTTACCCTGAGCCCCACCAGCTTCCTGCCACCCTGTAGCTGGCTGTCTTAGGAACTCCCTGCCGTGATGTTTGTGGGCAAATGCGTGTGCACGCATAGCACATGTGCATCAGAGGTGTCCTAGCTTCAAGTGGAACCTTAATTTGGCTCTTTTTCTCCTTGAGTTAAGTTGTGTGGGAGAAACTTGCAGCTCAAGAGGCGAGGGCTGTGCTCTGAGGACTGAGGGGGAGGGGTTGGCCGTGGCTCGTGGGTGAGGCAGGAGCAGGTGCCAGCTCCCTCCCCGGGGAGGCTCAGCCTGGGGGCCAGGCCTGGCAGGTGTGCCTTGCTCTCTGTTCTGACGCTCTTTTTCCTTTGTCCAGCTGTCCCACCCCAGGCTGTGATGGCAGCGGCCACATCACCGGAAACTATGCCTCCCACCGCAGGTTCGTGCCCCACTCGGGTCCGGCCTGGCCTGGGTGCCATGTGGTGGGTCTTCCTCCTCTCCTCCTCTGCGCTCCTCTTTGCTTACCCCGATATCCCATCTCTTCTCTTTCAGCCTCTCTGGTTGCCCTCTTGCTGACAAGAGCCTCAGAAACCTCATGGCTGCCCATTCTGCTGACCTCAAGTATGTCTGCCCTCCTCGCCTCCCATCTCTTGGGCGACTCCCTTGCTCTGCTCTCTCCTTCCATGAGGCTACAGACAAAATCGGCCTTCTCCAGGGCTCCAGCCCCAGGCTGGCCCCACCACGGGGTGGGGCAGAGAGGCAGGGCCAGGGAGGGGCTGATTCCGCTTGTCTGGGGCCACTGCTGCTGCCTGCCTCCTGCTCTGAGTGCTGCTGCTGCCTGTCTTCTTGCCTGTCTTCTTGGGCCAGGGGCTGCTGTGGCTCCTGTGCCTCCCTCAGCCCACCTTTCGGGAGCTGGGGGCAGGAGGCCGGGGCGGGGGAGCACGACCCGCCTCCCGCTCCCAATGGTCCCCTCCTCCTCTCCTTCTCCCGGGGACCCCTGCTGGGCTGTCTGAGCCTCCTGTCCTCACTGCTTTGAGATTTGGGAGAAGCCCAGACTGGCCTTGGCTTGGAGGCCTTGCGTTGCTCCATGGGCTGCAGGCTGTGTGGCCCTTGCTGGAGGAACTGATGCTGATGGTGAAAGAGAGAGCTCTTTGCCCTGCCCTCTCCTGCAGCCCCTTCCCGCTGCTTCCATCTTGGCCTCTGGTGCCTCCCGGACATGCCTCCCCTCCATGTGCATCCCTCCTCTTTGCTGAGCACCCGCTTTTTCTGCTTCTGCTCCTCCCTGCCCGTAACACATGGGTGGGGACGGTCCTGTGGCCCCAGCTAGCCTGCTTGACCGTCCAGCTCAGATGAGATGCACCCAGAGGTTTCCTAGGTGTCAGTGTCCTCTTGGTTGGAGTTGGGGACTGTCATTGCCTTTTGTCTTCATGCCTTCAGTTAAGCTGTGACGTCCCAGCTGGTGTGCCCCTGAGCTGTGCGGCTCTCGTCCTGGGCCCCCAGGCTGAGCCAAGGCTGAGGAAGGAGGTCCTACTCTTGTCCCTTTTGGGTCACCCCTCTTCAGGGGCGTCCCTCCCTTCCTCAGGCCTCTGTGCTGGGGAGCGCTGAATCCAGGCCACATTTCCCTGGCTCGTTCCATTCTGGGGCCAGACAGGAGCTGGGGTGCTGGTGCTTCTAAGGTGAGGACCTGCTGTTGGTGACAGCTTCCAGGGACCTGAGCGGATTTAGAAACAGGGCAGAAAGCTCTAGAGCTCCAGAGTCCCCATGCTGCCAGCCTTCCCTTGTCACTCTCAGGAGGCCCAGCAGCCAGGAGAAGCATGTCATTGCCTGTTGTCACCAATGGGGCCTTCCATTCCTGCAGATGGGGCCGGATTTACTGCCAGAATCATCCTTCCGGGAGTTACCAGCTTTAACGTAAACGTTTTCTGAGGCTCAGCTCGTGGCAGATCCATGTTCACTCATTCATTCCTGGTGTCCAGCCCCAGAAATCCACTGGGAACCCTGAGTCCTGCCAGCCCAGGAACGTCCTCCCCAACCTCCGTCTCTCCTCTCCTCTCACTCCCTTTCTCTGTTTCCTTTTCCAATTCTTCTTGCTTTTCTAACTATGATCAGTTTTCAGGGTTTTCCAGTCTAAGGGTCATTAGACTCTAAGATGTGACCACAGGTGCTCGGTAGCTCTTTCCTCTTGCAGAGCAGGTGCTCAGGGAAGGAGAACATGGGCCCATCTGAGTCTGGAAGTGTGGCCATCTGGGAGGCTTGGCCCCTCTAAGACTAAGCGCTGTGAAGAGCTTTACCCACAACTTGTTTGGAAATAGCAACAGGAAGTCTTCTGTGTATGAAAACACGTCACTCGTCAGCCTCAGCAAGGTCTAGGGGGGCGGCTGAGGTGCCCCTGACTCCCTCCGAAGCACTTCTCTCCACTTGGGGGTCTTTCTGTGAGAGCTCACGCCTGCCTCCCTCAGGCCACAGGTGGGCTTGGGATGGACGTGTGCTGGACTCCACCATGTTCCTCGTACACCAACGCTCCCCTCTCCCTCCTCCTGTCCACTGGGTATCTGGCATGGGCTGTTCCTCACCAGCCTTGTGGCAGCAACAGGTGAAGGGGACCCATCCCCAAGGGGGCAAAGACATGTGTGCCACCGCCTTGCAGACGAGGCTCTTTTGGTGGCTTCCCTCTCAACACCTGGTGCAGCGACAGGCCCACATGATGCGTTTTCTGTTTCAGTCAAGTCCCAAGGACATTTGCTTTTCCCTTCCATGTACCCAGTGTGATCAGGAGACCTGCTGCCTTGGGCTGCTCATCCCGCTCTGTGCACAGGGAGTTGGAGGGCAGCCACACACCCTGCAAGGGTGTCACACGGGGACCTCTGCACAGGGTCAGGGACAGCCCCCACATGGGACAGGGATGGGGCTCGGAGGCGAGACCTGGTGTGTACCGCCAAGCTGTGCTGAGTCCCTTAGACACGGATTCTTCCACCTGCCCAGGCAGAACACTCAGAAGCAGGTGGCAGAAGGGCTCCTACAGCTGATCCTGTGGGGCCATAAGAGCCGCTGTGCTGCCAGCACCCAGCACAGACACCTGCTTCTCCAGCCGCCTGAATGCCATCCTCTCTGGGACACGACTCTCAGGAAAAGCCATTGGCTCAAGGCCTTGTGAAGAATGTGGGACGGCCTCACCTGCCTGGAGCAGGTGTGCCTCAGTAGGACCCCTGGGAATGCAGTCCCACCGGCTGGGACCTCCCCCAGACTCAGTCACAGGTGCTAGTGGGGGCTGCCCCGTGCCAGGTATGTCACCCACAGGCCAGAGCTGAGCTTAGGCCCTCAAGGCCTAGGGCTGCTAGGGGCCATGACGCCCTGGCCACGGCTCGTGATGCCGAGCCTCTGAGTTCTGTTGCTCACTTCCCTGAAGCTAAGGAGCAGGGCCCCGGACAGCCGCCAGAGCAGCTGCAAAAGCAGGAAGAAGGCCTGTCCTCCCTCTCTGCGCTTGGTCTCCCAGGGAGCAGGAATGGCCGGCTTGGGCCATGGAGTGCTTGGCAGGGCACCCTGCGCTGAGGAAGGGGCGGCCTCAACATGGAGAGCTGTGCGAGGGACACCCTGACGTGCCCAAAGGGCCTGGTGCCCACGGCCCCGAGCAGCTTGCACCCTGGAGCCTGGACTCTGCAGAGATGCTAAGCTTCAGGGTAGAAGTGTGGTAGCAGTTTGGGGTTTGTTTGAAAGGGTGAAGCCTACCCAAATGGGGGTGATGAGTGGTTTCTATTAAAATGCAAAAACCTCCTTGCTCCAGGTGTATATGGGTTGAACTGTGATCACAGGTGACTGGGGCAGGAGTCATCATAATTTCAATGGGGTTTCAATTACCCCCAAACCCAGCAGGAGGGTGATTTGACCAGTTGGTGGATGATAGGCCAGGGAGGCCTTTGGGTGTGTGGCCCCAGGGCAGGGGTGAGGAGGGTGCTTTGAGAAAGTTGAGGGGGCTGGAGAAGGAGCTGGGCGGGGAGGCCTGGGTATCAAGCCCTTCAGTCATCGGGCCAGCCTCAGGGTTTCTCTGATGGGGAATGGGCAGTGTCAGCCTGGCCTGCGGGGGTCCAGCTGAAGGTCCTGAGGCTGCGGGGAGTTCTTTGGCCTTTCTGGCTTCCTCTGACCTGCCCCAAATGCCACACTCAGCGTGTGCGTGTGCCGGTGAAGGAGGACACTGAGGAAGGGCCTCGGGTGCAGCGCAGGGACCTGAGTGGATGGAGCCCCCTGTGGATGAGATGCAAAGACCTGCACCCTGTTCCAGCTGGCACTGGTCCCACGACCCTCTTGGGGCCACTTTCGCACTAAGCAGCGGCTTCAGCTCTCACGGTTCTCTCTCTGTGCGGATGAAACCAGAAATGGCGGATATGCGCTCTGAGAGCAGCAGGCTCTCCAGAGGCAAGCAGCCAGGTCCTGCCAGGTCCCGCCAGGTCCCGGGGGGCTAGAGCCATGCCCTCGTGAGGGCGAGGTGTGAAGCCACAGGTGTGCTCCAGAGGGGCAGCCCTGGGATCCACCTTCCCGTGCTGATGCCAGCAGGAGCTCGCCCCGTTTTCCTCAGCTGACAGTCGGTGGAAAGGAACTTAGGAAAACCCACGCTCGTATAGTGAAGTGAAATCTTTACCTTCTACGCAATCGCTCGTCAAACATTTTGGGTGCATAAAGCTGGGCTTTTGTGTTTTGTGTCTCCCCACCTTACCTCACCGGTGCTGCTGCCCCTCCATGACCTGGCTGCGTGAGTTCTTCACTCACGAAGAATTGCACCCCAAGGTGACGGGTGCCGTGGCCAGCATGCCGTGGGCACTTAGTCGGCATCTGTTCATTTGCTCTGACATGACAAGCCTCCGCGAGACCAAGGCTTCTTCCTCCCAGGGATGTCAAGGAAGATGAACTGGTCTTAGGGGTTAGATTTCCCTTTCTGAGCAGTCGTGTTTAAAGTTAAGGCCCATGTGTGTTCTGGAACCTTCTAGTCCAGCCTAGAACCCCAAAGAAGGCCACAGTGGGAGCCCACTGTCCCTGCAGGGGAGACATGCTCTCCTCTTGGCCTTCCTGGGCCCCTTTGGGAGCCTGGGTATCAAAGTTCTGAAGCCTGGAGGTGGTGGTAGCAGGCCGGCCAGACACACGGCTGTTTGCGAGACCTCGGTGCTGGGGAGGCGGGTGGGCCCATGGGGGGCTGGGCACAGAGGGCATCTTTCTGTGGCCAGGAGTTTTCACTGGCTCTGGTCCCAGCTGCCCTGTCCTCCGCAGGTGCCCCACGCCCGGCTGTGACGGCTCTGGCCACATAACGGGGAACTACGCATCGCACCGGAGGTGAGCCTGCCACAGCCGGGGTGTCAGGCTGGTGGGGCGGGTCCCCTCGTCAGATGGAGTTGTAAAGCTCCGAATAAGACATTGATGTTGCCAGCAACCAGAGCCTGTTTCATCTCTTTAATCTGAGTTGTCGCTGTTCCCAGAGCCTCATCTGGTTGCCACTGTATCCGGAGCTGGGGGTTCATAGCGACGCTTCTGTCAGTGGCCCTGCTGCCCAGGAGAGCGCTCGCTGGCACGAGGGTCCTAGGATCTGCTGGTTGCTGACCACAGGCCTGGGGGGAGGGGCGAGGCAGGTGGGTGTGGACTGCTGCAGCACTTTTCCTCTCTCAAACTAGCTTGTCCGGCTGCCCTCGTGCCAAGAAAGGTGGAGCCAAGGTGACCCCCACGAAGGATGACAGGGAGGATCCTGAGCTGATGAAGTAAGTCAGGGTCCTACTGGCCCCATTGTTGCTTTGCAGAATTGGGATTTTCCTGTATTTCATATTTTGAAGAAGTTCCTTCTAGATTCCCTTTTCATTGATAGGGCAATCTCATTTTCACCGACGTTCTCGTACCCTGCCTGTGATGCCTGCAAGGCACGAGCCACCTGCGTGGTGTTGAGGGCGTAGGCGCTGGCTCCCTTCTGAGCTTCTGAGGTCTGGGGGTGTTTGGTGGGGCTGGGAGACGCGAACGCTCTGCCACTCGTGCACCTGGGGGTCCTGGGCACCCACAGGCATCACAATCTGTGCTTCTTTGGTCTGGAGGGAAAGGTCAGGTGCAGGAGTCAAGGAGGATTAGAAAGACGATGATCCTTGAATCGTGCGTGTCTGCACTCCCACACTCCTGTGTGCTCACACACCTTTGCAGGGAGCTGGTGTGGAGTGAGGGAGCCCAGGATGGTCACCCCAACTGGGACCTTGACACTGCCATGAGGAGGAGAAAGACCTCTTGGGCTTTAAGTGACTGAAGTCCCTGAAACCCTCTACTGACCTTCTCACTGGGGGTGCCCGACACGTCATCAGGGGCTTTGCATGAACTCTGATCCTGTGTGTGCCCAACTCCATGGGCCTTGTATTATTGCAACCTCATCTTTCCAGACGAGAACTTGGCCCCTGAGCCCCCACTTGCAGGTGGGGCCAAGGCTGTGCCACAGGTGCAAACAGGGAGGCCCACTGTCTAATTTGCCCTGGACTTTCAGGGCTGACCCCAGGCAAAGCAGGCAGTGGTCCCCTTGGCAGGTGAGGAGTGGAAGGGAATGGCTCTGGCTGCCTTGTGGGGCTGGCTTGGTCAGGGCGAGCCTGGCAGGTCCACAGGAAGCAGTGTACCCTGACTGTTGCCTGTGGGCCACGAACAACCAGATGCTCGCCCCTGCAGAGGGAGCACCCTGGACCAAGGGAAACCTGGCTCCTCCTCGGAGCTCAGCCCAGCTGTGTCCAAACATCTGTTTGGCCACAGAGGAGGGGCTCAACTGACCAGTATCACACACTGCAAAAGGACAGCCCCCCGCCTGTTTGGTGTAATAAGGCTGTGGCTCATTTAATTTTTACAGTGAGACTGTAATGAACGTTAAATCAACAAGGCAAAGTACGCGGTTGTTAGTATCGGGACTGCTGCCTACAGATGCTAGGGTGCATAAAGAGTATTCTCCCTTCCAAGAATCCAGGAATTTGCCTGTGATCAAATAAATGCAGTGCTGTTATGAGTTTAGTAAGGATCCTGCTGGTAGGGATATTATAAGTGAATTGTGCTACATTTGCAAATGAGTAAAATCGAGATCAGCATTTTTCAAGTTAACTGGGAAAAATGGTTTTCCTCTTCCTAATGTGCCATCAACTTTGCTTTTTAAAAAACAAGGTTTCTGCAGCCAAGTGGAGAATGTGACTTTTAGAAACAGTTTAGCGTTTACAGGACGGGCGAAGTTCCTAATGGCTCCATGGCAAGGAGCGGGGACTGGCACTTAGAACAGCTCCATTTTATAGGGCCTCATCCCCAGCCATAAACTTTAACCATATTTATAATTGACTAGCATCTTTAGATGCTTGCAGGCTGCAGCAGAAATTATAATAGGTGCATCAGGCTCTGCTGCACAACAGGATTTTGCTGGCACGCACTAGCTGTGATTTTGGAAGGGCTGGTGGAAGATGCATTTCTTTCTATGACATCTTGTGTCTGCACTGTTTGAGATTAAGTCATGTCAGCACTTTGTGGTAAATCCCTTTGGCCACAACTAAATAACGGGCAATAAAAGTCTGTGGATGTTCCAGCATCGGGGTCGGGAGCTGAATGCCCATTGCTGGCAGAGAGGTCCCCAGCTGTCCCCAGCCACGCTGGCATCTGATGAGAGATGTGCTGCTCCCGCACCCCCCTGCACGCTCACCCTGGGAGCAAGAAGCTCCCAACTTGGCACCGACACACGTCCTAATGGGAGGTCACCTGATGGCTTGGAAGGTCTGGGCCTGGGTGTGGAGGGAGAGAGAAGCATCGTCACGCTTCTGAAATACTCACTATGAATGTAACTCCTGGAAACACCAGGAGTTAGGGTTTTGCAAAGAAACTAGGAAGAGAGCATTTGGATTCAACTGTGTGCTGTGACTGTGAAGAGCCACCTCTCGATTGTCCTTTTGATCTTGCGAGGTTGGGCCTCACAGGCACCTTAGGGTGCCCGGACCAGGGGTCCCTTGGGGTCCATAGTTGGGAAGTGTCCCGGTTTGGGGAGCAGACATAGCATGAAACCTCCCCGTGGCTCTTGCAGGGGCACCGGCGGTGTCTCCACTCTGGACTTGTGGCTGAGATGAGCTTGGATGGACTCAGTGGATGTCCCACATGTCTGAGGCCCACGTGGGTGGGATGGGAAAGAAAGGGAGGAGAGCCAGTAGAGGGGACAAGTGAGGACAGTCTTGGCCGAGGAGGCTGGGAAAGTGTCTGCAAGGGCTGCCTCTGAGATGCAGCCAGAGTGTGGGGGCAACGAGGCCGGGTCAGCCTTGCTCCTGGGCAGCACAGCCCTGTCCCCAACCCCACCACTGCAGCAGGAGCCCCTGGGGTGGCCCTGCCTCTGACGTCTCTGGACCCTAGGGGCCTCTCTGTGCAGTGGGGCCACGTGTCCCCTCCTGGTCCTGTGTGTCTTCTGGTCTACAGCACACAGGAAGTGGGTGACAGATGGCAGGTTAAACAAGTCTCGTTTGTTGGAGGGAGAAGACTGAGAACTCGCGGATGGAGGCTCTTGTCCGCGATTGGCTGTTTACTCCCAGGTGACCCTGCCCTTAGATCCCAGAACCCGAAATCTCTGTGCCCAGAAGGTGCTGCAGGGAGCTCCTGGACTACCCCTCACTGAAGGAGGCCTCGACCTTGCGTTGTCCTGTTTTCTGTGCCGCAGAATGGGAGTCTCTCTGAAACTTTCTCTGTGTCTCGCCTGTTCCTGGGCTTTTGTCATTTCCCTAAGGGATTCTCTTTCTCTCCTAACAACCTGAACCAAGGAAAATGCTGCTCCAAGCTGGCCTGGGGCAGGTGTCCTTGTGGGATGTCTGAGTCGAGACCTCCCACATAAGCTGTGGGGCCTCGTGTTCTTCCTTCCAGAACACACATTTCAGTGTGGCAAAGCTGGAACATCCCTGGGCATCAGGCCATAATCAGCCTCATTCTGGGATGCTGGGGGTGACGGGGCCTCTGCTGTCTCTGAGCTGCCTGACTAAGGGTGCACTCATGACCTTTTGTGACCCCACAGGCTCCCCGGGTCCTGTGCTTGGTGCAAGCTCCCAGCAAGTGACCTCTGGGTGGCCTCACCCAACACCTTAATCCCACATTGCTGGTGTGACACAGAAGTGATGTTGGCAGCAAGGTCTAGGTGTGGACCCAGAGGCCCCTGAGAGCCAGCCCCAGGGCTCAGGGGCTCACGGCTGCTGGGGGGCGGGGAGAGAAGGTAGCTACTGACCTCCAGCTGTGCAGGGAACACCAAGCTGAGGCTGGAAAGGGAGCTGCTCCCTTCATCTCCCATCAGGAAAGCCCAGGTTCTTCTCTGAGGCTCCAGCACTCGTCCCAACAATGGGAGTTTATCCAGGAGCCCCCAGCAGATCTCAGTGTCTGGCTTGGCAGGGTCCCTGGCTTCCTCCCACCTTTAGCCCTGCTGTGCTCACCTCTGACCTCTGTGCCCAGGTGCCCAGTTCCAGGCTGCGTGGGGCTTGGTCACATCAGCGGAAAGTATGCCTCTCACAGAAGTGCATCTGGCTGCCCACTGGCCGCCCGGAGGCAGAAAGAGGGTTCCCTCAACGGCTCGTCGTTTTCCTGGAAATCACTGAAGAACGAGGGGCCCACCTGCCCCACTCCGGGCTGTGACGGCTCCGGCCACGCCAACGGGAGCTTCCTCACCCATCGGAGGTAACTGTCCCTGCACCCCCTTTCCTGTCTATGCCTCCAGTGGGGACCCCAGCTTTGGGGCTGTAGGCAAAGCCCCCAGGGAGGGCCAGACTAGGGCACAGGTGTGACCCGTAGTTTCTGGAGGCCCAGCTTGGAGCCTCGGGGGGAAGCCATGGAAAGCCCGTTAGTACCAGATAGTGATGTTATTGACATGTGTCACCCTGTGTGTCTACTGTCATAAACTTCCTTCCACATCCCGACAGGGTCCCTCTGGCAAGAGCGAGCAGGGCCTGTGTCATGTGCACGTGCCTAACCAGCTGCGGCTTCTTGAAAAGCCTTGCCTGTCACGCTCAAGCCCTGCCCTTCCCCCGGGCCTCTTCTTTGAACTTTGGACCCAGGCCTCTGCCTGCTTTGCAAGGGGCCCGGTGAGAAGACCCCTCCCTGCCTGGGCAGTGGGCTGGGTAGCGCTGACCGGCTCTCCCTTGTCCCCCAACACCTGCCCCAGGGCCAGGCAGCGAGGTGATGGCCGAGGGGCACAGGCTCACCACCTGGTCCCGTCAGATGTCCTTTTCTTTCTTTCTTTTTGCCCTTGTCTCTCTACCTACATGATTAATTAACTCATTCATTCCACTAGTCTTTACTCAGAGTCCACCAGTGCCAGGCTCTGGAGACAGAGAGAAAACAAGAGTGACAACGGCCCTCCTGGAGTTGACGTAGGCAGAGTGGGTGGGGAGGCAGACTGCAAACACACAAATGAGTAAAATCCCCATGTGGTGGAGGATGGAAGCTCTGGGGGGAAGTAGCAGCAGGGAGGGGTGAGGAGCTCCCCTAGGCCATCTGGGGACAGGCTTCAGGGCTGTGGCCAGAGTGGGGAAGAGCCGGGGCTGCTGGACGAGGAGTGAGGGAGCTTGGGGCCGAGCTGGGGAGCAGGGGGTAAAAGGAGATGAGCCTGAAAGTTCCAAACCAGGATCCTACCAGGCTGCCGGCCTGCGATGATTTGGGTTTCACTGTGGTGTGTGACCTCAGATGGCCCATGGTGTGTGACCTCAGACTGGCCCATGGCGTGTGACCTCGACGGCCCCTGACGTGTGATCTCAGACTGGCCTGTGGTGTGTGACCTCAGACTGGCTGGTGGTGTGTGACTTCGGATGGCCCCTGGTGTGTGACCTCAGATTGGCCTATGGTGTGTGACCTCGGACTGGCCTGTGGTGTGTGAGCTCGGATGGCCTCTGGCGTGTGATCTCAGACTGGCCCGTGGCATGTGACCTCGGACTGGCCCGCGGAATGTGACCTTGGATGGCCCCTGGTGTGTGACCTTGGATGGCCCCTGGTGTGTGATCTCAGAGGGCCCGTGGTGTGTGACATTGGATGGCCTGTGGTATGTGACCTCGGACTGGCCTGTGGTGTGTGACTTTGGATGGCCTGTGGTGTGTGACCTTGAATGGCCTGTGGCGTATGACCTTGGATGGCCTGTGGCATGTGACCTTGAACTGGATCTTGATGTGTGACCTTTGCTTCCAGCTTGTCTGGCTGTCCCAGAGCGACCTTTGCTGGAAAGAAGGGAAAGCTCTCAGGGGACGAGGCTCTCAGCACGAAGTTCAAAACGAGTGACGGTAAGGATGTCCTCCTACAGCCCCTGTGTGTGAGCTTGGCGACCTGCCAGTGGGTAGGGCTGGTGACCAGGGCTTAGGCCAGCAACGCCCCTCCTGGAGTGAGTCACAGTGGACACAGACCCTGTGGCCTGAGCTGACAGGTCTCCTGATCTTGGCTCTGGGCCTCTGGCTGCCCATTTCTGGGCTCCCGGCCCTTGGTGGCCGAGCCTGCTTTGACCTGGGTATTGCTGAGTGCTGACATCACAGAGCCTGCTGGCAGCGCAGGAGGCCATGTTCTCAGGGTTTGTGGAGTTGTGAACTCACTTAAACTCAATGAAGAGGGAAGCTGAGGAAATTCAGCATCATCTGGAGAAGCTCCCATTTGTATCTTAGCGATTATTACCTGCTAAGAGATCTATACATTCTGACCTGTGACCTGGGGCCCGGAGGCAAACAACAGACACGGCTAGTAGTCTCCGAGTCCGACTTTCCCGGCATGAAATGTGGGATGTGAGCTGCCTGCAAGGGAGCTCGGACCCAGGCCGTGCCTCTGCTTGGAAAAGGGCCCCGTTCCGTCTGGGAAGCACCCACTGTGGGCCTGGCCTTGAGGCCGAGAGCTGTAACGGAGCTTTCTCTCTGGGGCAGTGCTGGAGAATGACGAGGAGATCAAGCAGCTGAACCAGGAGATTCGCGACCTGAATGAGTCCAATTCGGAGATGGAGGCCGCCATGGTGCAGCTGCAGTCCCAGGTGGGTGGCACTGCCCACCCGCCCAGCCCTGGAGTCAAGCCTTTGCCCTCCGCTCCCCCGCCCTCCTCTTTAGTGCATTGGGGAGAGCTGCCCTCATCACGCTCAGTGTGGGCTGAGCTGACAGTGCAGTGCACGCGCCGCCCGCCAGTGTTGGTGGCGCTACCAGCATTAGGGGTCCCGTTGTGCTGCTGGCTGGGGGTCCCATCAGGGCGAGTGGTCCTTTAGGGTTGCTCATCCTGTCAGTAGGGCTGTGTGCGTTCTGAGAGCCTGGCCAGAGCCGGCCTCCACCGCAGTGCTATCATACACCGGCTGAGAGGCTTGGCGAGCCTCCTCACCAACCTGCACCTCACTGGTGGAATGGAGACAAGAACAGGAAATCTGCTCCTTGTGGTTGCTGTAAGATGAATGCATTTCTGTGAGGAAAGCAGTTAGCACAAGGGTCTGGCCCTGAAAGAGCCGCTGTTGCTTAGTTGACAGGTTACCAATTAAGTGTACGCCCCGTAGCTCTCTGATTTCCCCCAAATGAACATTTGTAGTCAGAAAAACAAAGCAGTAGAGGTCTTATTTTGAAAAAAGGACAATGCTTTACCCTTGGCTGCTGAATGGGGGTCGGAGCAGAGCTGGGGGGCACAGACAGAGTAGCCACACATAGCCAGGTGCCCTATGGCTGGAGGGACAAAGGGAGAAGAGGGACCAGGCCCTGCAGGATGGAAGGGCAGAGAGGATGGGTGGGAAGATGGTGAGGCCCCTTTCCAGAGGCTGTGTTGTGACGTGTTGGAGCCCCACATGTCCTCTCGTGCTGTCCTTCCTCCATGGGCAGATGAGCTTCTGCTCTGACCTCCTGTCACTCAGAAACCTGTGTAAAAATAGCATCAGCACCTGGAGACCAGAAAGGATGTTCGTTCTGCCTGCAGCATCTTCTCCAGGTTCACAGGCAGTAGAAGCCGAGAAGTGTGGGCTGTCTCTGGGCACTGAGTGTGGCTGTGTGGCTGTCACCTGCTGTCCCTCCCTGCTCCTTCCCTTCTCAAAGTCCAAGGACCCTCCCTGTGTCAGCTCCCTTGGGGCAGCATCTCTGATTTCTCTTTATTTGACAACGCCCACTTTTTAAAATTTGTGTTCCTAATAGTTTACATCATTGTGAGATTTCAGTTGTACGTTATTTGTTGTCTGTCACTGCATAAGTGCTCCCCTTCACCCCATGTGCCCTCCCCCACCCCCTTCCCCTGGTCACCACTGAACTGCTTTCTTTGTCTGTGTGTTTGTTCATGTTCCACATATGAGTGAAATCATCTGGTGTCTGTCTTTCTCAGTCTGGCTTATTTCACTTAGCATAATTCCCTTCAGGTCCATGCATGTTATTGCAAATGGGATGAATTTGTCTTTTTTAGGGCTGAGTAGTATTCCATTGTGTAAATATACCACATCTTCTTTATCCAACCATCAGTTGACGAACGCCCACCTTTTTAAAGACAGATTCTTCATGAGCATCCTTTCAGAAGGACTCACAGCCCCCTTCCCCTGGAGGGAGTTTTGAATTGTGTGCTCTGCAGAAGGGCTCAGGCAAGGAGAAGGCAGCCTCAACTCCTACTCAAATCTTTTAAAGCCACAGGCTTGTCATCAGGTGACAAAAGTGTGATCTCCCCAGCCACAGGTCACAGAGTCACGTGGTTGGAGGAAAGTACTCGATGTCGTTCACGGCCTCCTAAAAGGCTGCTTGCTGTGCCGCACTTAGGGGACGGCTTGGTGTGCCACCCACAGTGTGTGAGTTTGCCTCAGGCCCTGGGGCAGGCGTCCCACCTGCCCCACGCTGACTGTGAACCTCTGCACAGGGTTACACTCCCCCTGAGACTCACCTATGGCCTGAGCTGCCCAGAGCAGGCAGGACGGCCCGTGGCTGCCAGTGCTGTCATCACCGTCCTCTGGGGTTCCAGCTGGAACCTGAGAGTCCCCTTGGGAGAAACTTCTGGGCTTCAACCAGGACCCTCCTCCTGGTGCCCTGCTGAGTCCAGAGAAGCGTCTGTGCTGGAAACGCCAGGGTGCTCTCAGGCTCGCTGGGGAAGTCGTCGGCTGCTCCCTCAGCCACGTGCTGCAGAGGAAGGGCTGTCGCCTGCTCTGCTCACCTTCCACAGCTTGAGTGAGGACCTTTGTTGGTCTTTCTGGTGGGGGAAACTCAAAGACAGCCAGACGCCCCATGCAGTGGGCGCAGTATCCCCATTATAGACGAGGACGAGGAAGTGTGGAGGAATAGTGGTGGGCCAGAGTATGAGCCCAGGGTGCTTCAGAACTGTGCTCCTCCCCACCCCTGCATGACACATGCAGCACAGAAAGCTACAGCCCCATACAGCCCCGGGCTCAGTCACCACGTCCCCTCCTCCATCCAGGGACCAGGGCACTGCCAGCCTCTCACTAGTGGCAGGACCCCCCAGGGAGGCAGGGGCCCTGCCTCTTCGCCCTTTCCTGCAGAGACATGAGATGTGGCACAACGAGCATGCCCAGTGCACTCCCAGGAGGATGCAAGCGACATGGCCCACAGGCCCGTGCCAGGAGGCATTTCCCTTATCTGTCTGTGCAGATCTCTTCCATGGAGAAGAGCCTGAGGAACATCGAGGAGGAGAATAAGCTCATTGAGGAGCAGAATGAAGCCCTGTTTCTAGAGCTGTCGGGCCTGAGCCAGGCCCTCATCCAAAGCCTCGCCAACATCCGCCTTCCACACATGGTAAGCAGGAAGAGGTCTTGCGGGCATCATGGCCAAGCTGGCGGCTGTCCCCCAGTACTCTGGGGGGGCAAGGAGGGAAGGGCGCCCCTCTGCCTCTGGGGCCCTGACGGGAGGGCCCTGACCCAGGTGTTCTGCTGCTGGCCATGGTGGCTCCAGCCCGCCTGAGTAGCCTATGAATCTGCAGCAAAATGCTCAGAGTTGTTTCAGCCCAAGGTGGGGCAGCCAGTGCAGTCCCTGGTGGCTGGGGGCTTGCTCAGGTGGTGTGAGGAGATGCGTTTGATACTCCCCCACCGATTCCATTGCTTCTGAAAACCGTGGGGCCCCCTGCATGGATGGGGCTTGCTAAACTGGTTCTGTTCTCCAGGAGCCAATATGTGAACAGAATTTCGACGCCTATGTGAGCACCCTCACCGACATGTACTCCAACCAGGAATGCTACCAGAACCCCGCGAACAAGGACCTCCTGGAGAGCATCAAGCAGGCCGTGAGGGGCATCCAGGTCTAGGCCTCCTGCTCGAGGAGCTGCCCTGCTGATCCCGGGTGCTGGGCACCCCAGCTTGGCTCCACTGTTTACCTCCCTCTCCTGCCCTCCCAGTGGAGATTCCCAGCTCACAGCGACTTCTGGCTGGCAACCCCGGCAGCCTCAGGCGGGTTTATCCAAAGGGGTGCCAGGAAATCAGTGTCTCCCTGGATACAATGTGCTTGCCAGGCCAGAGGCCGCAGCCTCCCCACTCAAGGGCAGGGTGGGGCATGAAGTATTACAAAGTGATTTATTTTTGTTTTCTGAAAGAAATCTGAAGAGCAGCTCGAAGTCTCCAGTGGAAGCTCATGGACAAGGTTCTCAGGGAAGTTTCGGAGTTTGCAACCACAGTATTCCTTTGTCTGTCAGGCTGGGAGGGTAGCCGTGGGCGCTGGGCTGGTGGTGCGTTTGACGGTGTCAGCCTGGAGCACGTGCCCCGGGGTGTGCGTCTGCTCGGTGAGGCTAATGTGGCAAGTGTGTTTTCTGTTTTCATTTAATTCAGTTTTGTGTTAAGGACGGATCAAAGCCCTGTTCCCGAGGGTAAGGTAGGGGCAGGCCTGCAGCCCACTGTCAGCCCCAGGAATCTAATCTGGGATGCCCCTGAAAGCCAGCTGCTGGTTCCACAGTAAGGCACTCATGTCTGGGGGTGGCTGGCGCCCATGCCTGCACAGACATGCGCAGTGTGGGGCCATGCTCCCTCTTGGGGCTGTGGCCTTTAGACCCGGTCTGGCTCTCTGTGCGTCCACCCAGGCCCATGACCTGTCACTGCCGAATTACCTGGGTCATGGCTGAGCTTGACCAAGGTGGGGACAGCGTTAGTGAGAGCAGGGGATAAATTCCTAATTAGAGACCATCAAGGTTTCACTTCTTTTTAGATCCATTCAAGATGTGAAAAAAAGTAAATTTTAATTTAATGTGTTAAAAACACAATGTTCCTAACATGTAAATAGAGTCCAAATCGATTGTGACTGCAATTCCAAGTTAGTATTTAAAAGTAGAGAAATTGCACTTCCTGGAAGAAATAAAAAAGTAGTTAGTTTATTCTGTAAATTATTTAATTTTGTCAAGATGTAAGTATTTATATTCACAACCTCTTATGTTAACGTTTGTTATTTTGCTATTTATTTAACATTTTTATTTATTAATTTTATACTATTTCAACTAGACCCCATACCAGGACACCATGAGAGGAAAATAAATGAAATCAAAGCAAAATTAACTATTTGACTATGAGATAGGCCACACACAAAAAACCTTGCTATAACTTCTAGTTATAATTTTGATGCAACCGATATTTTTTATATATTTTGTTATTTATTCTTTTAATAATGGAGTTTTTAAAAAGTATTTTGTAACTGAGGAATTTTGATAATTTGGGGATATTTGTCCCTTGGTCCAATGGAAAGAAAGATTTTTTGGTTTTCTGTATCCCTTTTGCTTCCTTCTGTTTTCGGCACGGACGACAGCAAATGGAATTCTGTATTTATTGTTTATTTAAGTGTAGCGCAGATGTGTGTGCTGGCGTGTTTCTCGTGTCGCGTCTGTGTGCCGGCTTGTGATGGCTGAGTCATGTTGCTGTGAGGGAGTGCTGGCCACAGGCAGCGCCGAGCGTGGCCACTCGCAGGCTCCCTGTCCCCTGACAGCTCCGATACTGTGACCCTCCTTCCTCAGGAAACGCGTTGAACCCACAGCACAGCACTTCTCGGTGTGTTTGCAGGGTGATTTCCTAATAAAAGTCCACTCTGACTGTGAGTGGGAGCCGTGTCTGTTGTGAGAGCTCTGAGGAGCCCTCTGTGGTACAGCCCTCGCTTCTGTCCTGGGGAGCCGGTGGGTGGGCAGGCTCTTCCCTCTCAGGTCTCTCCCTGATCCCACGTGTGGAGCCCACATCGCCTTTGTAGAATTACTCTCCCCCAAAGTGTGGTTCTGGAGGGTCTAAGTCATTGTGCCCTGCCCCCTCTCACATGACTGGGCACGTACAAATTGGTTTTCTCTTAGGGTCAGGAAGAAGAAGTCTTTCTGCTGGGTTGTTAGAGTAGGGGGTATGGAATAGGGACTGCCCCAGGCTACCTCTGGACACGAGGACAGAGCCATCTGCAGTAAGAGAGAGTTCAGACATTCTGGAAGGAAGCAGAACTGAGAAATGGAGAGAGAAAGGTGGAGGTGGGGTGAGGAAGAAGAACGAGCTCTCTGATGACCTTTTCAGAGTAGCTGGATTCAGCTATACCTGAAGGCCATCCACCCTTGCACTTCCCAGTTATGTGAGACAATAACAAATTCCTTTTTTGTTTTTGTTTTTTGCTTAAGCTAGTGTGCTTGGCTTTTTGGTCTTGCAGTGGCACCTCACATTTCCACACTTTTGTGTCAGCTGGAGCTCTAGCTCTCCCAGGGTGAGAGTTAGGCTTGAGGCTTCTAGTCACATTCAACCTGAACTGTCAACACATTTTGACTTCCCTGGAAATCTGGCCCTGGAGACCAACCCGGAACTCCTATCTGACATGTGAACAAAGGACAATTCTTAAAAAAATTTGGGCCTCATTTCCAACTCTTGTTCAAGTCAGACAGGGTCGAGGACACTGGGGGGCTTTTGGTGTGTCTGGAGGGCTCCAGCTGCTAGCTTTGGGGACCAGAGCCGGTGGCAGCATACATGAGCCTGTCATGCAGAACCTGTTCAGCCTTGAAGAAGGACTCCTGGGGGTCCCCTTTGCTGAGGCCTCATTGGGGGTGGGGGGACCAGTGGCCTGGGTTGTGCCCATTCATGTCAGCACACAGATGCTAAGGTGTGAGCAGGATCGATTTTGAAGTGTCCCCTGTGCTAGCTGAGATGACATCATTCAGGGGGCATGAGAGTTGGCTAGGCAGCTGGGGGCTGGGAGTGGAGCGAGAGCTGCCTGGGGCCCCTGCCCTGGCTGCCTGGTGGCAGGTGACCAGCATAGGCCAGGACTGCGAAGGAAGGAGATGCCATGGAGTAAATTGCCACGTCTATCCCCATGTGAGACATCCCCATGGTATCCCTTAGTCCTGCCTCCACCCTCTCCTGGTGATCTTTGCCCCCTTCCCTTCTGAAGTTTCATCCAGCCTGTCGTCCTTCCTGACACTGAGACACTGCACTTCAGGGGGCTGGCCCACCCATGCTGATGAGCTAGAGCCTCTTCTAGGCCACATGGGCACGGCCTCAGGACACATTGTCAGGCCTCCAGACGCTTCCTAGGAGCAGCAGCGCGGAGAAGCACTGATGCTTGCAAAGGCCGTCAGCTAGGTGCTCATGTGCTTGCGGGGGCTGGTCTTCGGTTCTGTGTATTCGTCAGCGAGCTCTGCAGGGAGCTGACGACAGTTGCTGGCTGTGGCTCTGTGGAACTGCTGGTTGGTCTAAAGAGCCACAAAAGCTGCATGGGTGGGAAGACGGCCCCAGAGGTCAGTGTCAAGCTGCAGGTGGGTGTGCGGGTGAGGGGAATGGAGGGGCTTTGGAAGTGGGGAAAGGGGCTCCCTCCACGAGCTGTATCTCAGCAGAGACCTCTGCTCCTGGTTGGTGGACTGGTGGGCAATGGAGGAGAGCAGCTGTGGGCCACAGGTCGATTCCAACTGAGTCCCTGCTGGGCCCTGGGCATGGGCTTCAGCCCGGAGGGACTTGGTCTTGCCCTCAGCAGCTGCTCAGGCCCAAGGCACCAAGGGCACGCCCCTGGAGTGTGGGCAGTGCTCCCTGCAGAGAGTGACCTGCTATGGAGCCTTAGAAGACCTTTCAGGGAGGCACTGTTTGGGATGTGGATGGTGGAACAGAGGGGAAGGGAGTTCCTGGAGAAGAAACAGCATGGACACAGAACACTGGTGTGGAGGACCCCTGATGTTGAAGAAGCACAAGCACTAAGGAGGCTGTTTTTATCCTATGGGACTTTTAGGTTTTCCAAACCATTCCCTGACTCCAGAATTCTGGGAAGTAATAAGGAGCCTGGCCTCGGGGCTCCATGTCCTCAGAATCTTTCCAACAGGAGCACTGGGTCCCATCCACCATGACCTCCTGGCTTCTGAGGGTTTGTCTACTATGGGATCAGCAGACCTGGGCTCAAATGTGGCTCTGCACTCACCAGCTGGTGATCATGAGTGTTGTGTGCAGAGGGATGCACAGCAGCCCCTCCAGCTTTGAGAAGGTACAGCATGTGGTTGTTCCGGTGATGCCAGAAGGCTGCACAGTCCCACAGTTTGATGATGACATTAGCTGTTCTCCCCCAGGAAGAGCCTCCCACCTCCTGCGTGGAGGGTCTGCCTCAGTCAACAGCCTCCTGGTGGCTGGGGGAGGAGGGTCTTGGCATTGTAGGGCTTATTTTTGGTGTGAGAACCCTGACTGCAGCTAGGCCTTCACTCCCAGCCTGAAGACCCTTCTTCTACACTCTCCAGAGAATAAAACTCAAGGTTGCAACCAGAGGGAAGGGAGCATTAGAGTCAGGGCAGGAGTCTGGGGGTCTTCTAGCTTCTGAAACACACTGTCCACCTTGTTTCAGGCCCCTTCTCCCATCTCCAGCAGAATCTGAGTCTGCCAGTTCCTGGGGATTCTGGGGTGTGGACTGTCTTGGTTCTGAGCTTCCCACACTCTGGCTAGCAGTCAAGTTTGGGGTCTGCTGAGGCCTTCACTGCACATCTGTGTGTTTTCTGGCTTCTAAGTTGCATTGTTGTTTCTTCTTCAATCTCCCCATCCCTGCCAATTTACACCCTAAAGGCTCTCACTTTAGCCAGGTTTTCAGAAGGTGTCAAGGTAGGTAGGTGTGTACACCTGCCCTCCTTACCTAGATGCACAGGTAACACCCCAAGTAGATGAGCACCTGACCATGTGAAAATGGGAAGCTGACTCAGTGTTGTGTTGATGTGACCTCATGATTAAGTGGAGCCTCAAGTGCAGTTGCTACTTTCTCTCGTTAACCATCACACCCCCTGAAGCTATTGGCCCCATAGAAGCTGTTACAGCTACAGTGTGAATGGTTTCCTCCCAGCTGATTTCAACCTTGCAGCACAGATCAGCAAATCTCCCGGGTGTTACAAGCACTTTCTTTCTCTTTGCTCTTCCTCAAAACAAGGAGGTGGAAAGTTGGTTTCTCCAAGAGAACCCCAGTACCCACCTCAGCAAAGTGCCAATCAGGTTAAAACACAGGGGTAGTTTATCCACGGGCCCAGGTGATCCATGATTGGGGGCGTCCCACCAATGCTGGGCAGCTGGCCCTTGAGAGAGCCACCCGCTGCCCTCACTGCACCCAGTCCCACCTCCCTGCCCCGGTCCCCACTGTGCTTGCCTCTCCCTTTCCTCTCAGTGTCTACAGTGGTCAGGCCTCTCCTTTTCTAGCACCTTCTATGGCTCCCTCCCCCCTCAGCCTTCCTCCCAACTGCCTGTGCACACCAGTCATCTCCCCCAGCCCCTTCCTGGTCTCTGCCTACCCTGCCCCTGCTCCTATGGGTACTGTCCCCTTGCATGCTTCTCAGAGGCTGCCCCAGCCCACGTCTTGGGCTCTCTCCTTCCCTTCCTCATCGTTCCCACAGCTCCTGTCTGCTGTGCACAGAGAATTCCCACTCCATTCCCCAAGCCTGCCTTTCCAAGTTCTAGCACCTTCTGGGTCTCCACATGGACGTCCCACAGGCCACAGGACATGCACCCAAGTAACCACAACAGCCCACTGGCTGCTCCCAGCCTGACTCCCCTGGGCCCAGCCAGGCACAGACCCTCGTCAGCCCCCTATCCTGACTCACCCTGCTGAAGGGCTCACGGCTGTGTGCGAGCCACCGAGAGGGGCAACAATTGCCTGCTGTTCCAGGCGGATGTGAGTGCCACCGTGGAACACCAGCCTGGTGGTGTGCGCCCAGACTGGGCTGCTGTGGGTGCTGCCCCAACAAGGGCAGCGTATGATAGGGAGGAAGAACAGATGGTTATTTGGGTCACATGTGGGGCTGTGCAGGGATGCATGTAAGATGGCACTAGCCATGCCCTGAACACCAAGGGGGCCCGTGTGGACATGGTGACTCCTTACCATTAACTGAGGTGTCTTCTTGGACTAGTTCTGGCTCCTGAGGGCTGGCCACAGCCCTCGCAGCATCTTGAGCCAGTATAGGTCTTGGGGGGCATATCTGGAGCCCCTCAAAGTGGGAGGAGGTTGGACAGTTTCAGCCCTGGGCTGTCCCTGAGCACACACCACCTACAGAACCAGGGGCCTGGTGGGGGGTGCTGGGGAGCCCCCAGCAGGAGGTTGAGGAAGAAAACGCGGCCTCTTGCCCAGCACCCTGCCCGCGGACACCCCTCCCTGGGCCCACTGTCTCTGCTCATAGGGTACCTTCTGCCAAGTTACACACACTTCTGCCTGTTTTTTCACACACTGTTAAAAACGTTTTCCTTGTCTTGAATTCTGTCACGGCTTTCTTTGTAGAGGTCATCAAAACAGCAGAGGAGAAACCCGGTACTGTATATGGCTAAAGATGGTGAGGAGTCTACCTAAGGCCCACTGGTGTGTTGTGAAGACCAAACAAAAGCGTTTGCAAGTCCCACACCACACCCCCCAGAGCCACTGCCTGAGACCCTCAAATAGAGGTTGATAATTTGAGACACTTTCAGGCACCAAACCAGGAAGTGCTCAGTCACAGCTGAGTCACCCCACATAAGGCCTCCTTGGCTTGCCCTGACAGGCGGAGGGGACGAATAATGACGGGTGGTTCGTGAGTGACCCTGAGCCCTTGGGACTCGCAAAGGCTCCTCCAACCCCTCACCCACTGTGGCGCGGGCA